CAGCCTCATTCACAGCTGATGTAACATCTCACCCACATCACGTCCTGAGCTGTCGCCGTCAACCTAAAAACATCAATTAGGTATAAATAATAGTTCGCCATCCGCTTTATTTTTGGATTTCTATCTTTACTGCTCCCATCTCTGCCTATCTCTATCTCTATCCAACGGCGTGGCCATCCTTATTCCACCACGGCAGCCCAACAGAGCCAGCGACGTCTCTACCCTACACTCTGGAGCTTCATCGTTGGCATCGCAGTCCTCATCGCGGCGCTCCTGTACACCGTATTCGTCTCAAGAGACCGGATTCCAGATATCAAGATGGGTGGAGGTCCTATTCCAGGCTACCGCTCTGTAGCCTACTACGTCAATTGGTAAGTAGGTAGACTGGCAAGGCGAACAAGCTTCATCGCCAGATATTGCCCCGCCCCCGCCTCATCGGGTGGTTTCTGACGCTCACTGCTCACACCACTGCCTTATAGGGCTCCCTACGGCCGTAAGCACAAACCGCAGGACCTGCCAGTTGAGAACCTCACCCACGTTCTCTACTCGTTTGCCAACGTCCGTGGTGAAAACGGCGAGGTGTATGTTCCCACCCCACCCCTTGCTTAAGGTTGTATGGCATGGCCATGTAGAAGTCAGCGCTGATGAGCCTGTACACTACAGATTCTTAACAGACGATTGGGCCGACACTGGCATTCACTTCGACGGAGATTCCTGGAATGATACGGGAAACAACATGTACGGCTGCCTCAAGCAGCTTAATCTGCTCAAGCGCCGGAACCGCAACCTCAAAGTCCTCATCTCCATCGGTGGATGGACCTACAGCTCCAACTTTGCGGCCCCCATGAGCACCCCCCAAGGCCGCAGCGCTTTCGCCAAGACTAGCGTCGAGCTGGTCCGGAAGTTTGGCTTTGACGGCATCGACATTGACTGGGAATACCCCAAGAACGCGGAGGAAGCTCGCAACTTCGTCGAGCTCCTGGCCGAGTGCCGCAGAGAACTCGACGCCTACTCCCAGGCCGTCGCGGGCGGCTACCACTTCGAGATCACCGTGGCATGCCCCGCGGGCGCCACCAACTTCGAGAAGCTCGACATCCTCAACATGGACCGCTTCCTCGACTTCTGGAACCTGATGGCCTACGACTACGCCGGGTCGTGGGACTCGACCAGCGGCCACCAGGCCAACCTGTACCCCAGCCTCGAGAACCCCACCGCGACGCCCTTCTCCTCCATCGCGGCCCTGGAGTACTACGTCCGCAGCGGCGTCCGCCCCGACAAGCTCGTGCTGGGCATGCCCTTATACGGCCGCGCCTTTGACAACACGGACGGCATTGGCAGAGCGTTCAGCGGCGTCGGCGAGGGAACGTGGGAGCAAGGCGTCCACGACTACAAGAAGCTGCCCATCCCGGGATCGCAGGAGGTCTTCGACCGCGAGGCCCAGGCGTCCTACTGCTACAGCCCGGACCAGCGCAAGCTCGTCAGCTACGACACGCCGGGCATGGCGGGCCTCAAGGCCGACTTCATCAAGGGCAAGGGCCTCGGCGGCGCCATGTGGTGGGAGAGCAGCGCGGACAAGGCCGGCCCCGAGAGCCTGATCAGCGTCGTCGTCAACGGCCTCGGCGGCCCGCAGGCGCTCCAGAGGGTGGACAACTGCATCTCGTACCCGCAGACCCCGTACGACAACCTGCGCGAGGGCTTCCCCAACAATTGAGTGAGGTAGCTTGTAGCTGAGCTGGAGAGAGAGGCCCCACTCGCAGGTCGGGAGCGAGCTTTTGGGTATAGGTAGTACATAGGTTGCCTACATAGCAAGACTGGACCGGCATGCACGGGTGGAAACCTGCTATTCATGAATAAAATGACATGTATTCTTCTCGTTTAATCTTTTATTGGAAACAATGCGCGGCAAAACCAGGTTGATTGAATAGACGTCTCTCGCCATTCAACAATGGAGCATCACGTGACTCCGCAGCAGCCACCAGTCCTGGAAGAGAAGCGCGGTGGTCCGTGCGCACGGCTGGCAAGCTTCGCTCCTTCTCGTTCGTCCAAAAATTTTGCTGGAAAAAAAGTGTGGAAAAAATCTACGCCCAGAATTGGAGGTTAGCAAGATTGACTTTTTGTTCTATAACCACCACACGACCCCAATTCCACGCGACACCTGATCCCAGTCGAGCGGCTCCGAGTATACAGGCCAAGAATCCCCGATTGTGCAGCCGCAACGATGTCGGAAATCGACTACGCCCTCTTCGAGGCGCCCGTCGGCTATGCCGTCTTCAAGGTCGTCCACCAAGCCGACGTGGTCTCGCTCAAGACCAAGGAGGGACAGGAGACTGCCAATGACCTGTCCAAGTTTGGCAAGATGGTCAAGATTGTCAACTTCAGCCCTTTCCGGTGCGTAATGGCCTACCAGAACCCCCCCAGTGTTGTGTCTGGGGGAGGAGAGGACGACGAGGCAGAGTTCAATTGAAAGCTAACCAAAAGTCGTGCACAGTGGCCAGAAGGAGGCTTTGAGCAACATCAACGAGATTTCTGAGGGTCAGCTCCCCGAGTATCTCAAGGAGGTCCTCGAGATCAACCTCCCCAAGAGCGGAAAGAAGAGCAAGATCACGCTGGGTGTTGCCGAGAAGAACTTGGCTGGTGCCATCAAGAACGCCTTCCCCGGCCTGAACGCCCTCACTGCGGACACCTCCGATGTCTGCGCCGAGCTCCTCCGTGGCATTCGCGTCCACGCTAGCAAGCTGATCGAGGGTCTCAACGATGGCGATCTCGAGCAGGCTGGTCGTGGTCTCGGTCACGCCTACTCTCGCGGCCGCATCATGTTCGACCCCAAGCGCAACGATCAGTCTATCATGCAGGCTCTTGCGACTGTTGAGATTGACGACAAGGGCACCAACAACAGCTACATGCGACTCCGGGAAACCTACGGCTGGCACTTCCCCGAGCTCTCCAAGATCGAGTCGGACAACTACACCTACACCAAGTTGGTCCAGGCCATCGGTCGCAAGGAGGACCTCACCGACGAGAAGCTCCACGACATCGCTGCCATTGTTGGCGAGGATGGCGAGAAGGCCCAGGCCATCATTGAGGCCGCCAAGATCTCCATGGGTCGCGAGCTCGGTGAGGAGGATCACAAGATGATCAAGGGCATGATCGAGCCTCTCATCTTCACCGCCGACGCCCGCAAGCGCACCGCCCGTGACCTCGAGGCCACCCTCAGCACCGTCGCCCCCAACCTGCAGGTCCTCGTCGGCACCATGGTCGCCGCCCGCCTGATCAATGCTGCCGGCAGTCTCAGCACTCTGGCCAAGTACCCTGCCTCCACCCTCCAGATTCTTGGTGCCGAGAAGGCCCTTTTCCGTGCTCTCAAGTCCAAGTCCAACACCCCCAAGTACGGTCTCATCTACCACAGCACCTTCATCGGCCGTGCCTCGGTGCGCGACAAGGGCCGCATCTCCCGCTACCTCGCCAACAAGTGCAGTATTGCCTCGCGTATCGACTACTTCGCCGAGGAGCCCTCCACCAAGTGGGGTGAGGCTCTGAAGCAGCAGGTTGAGGACCGCCTCCAGTTCTACGCCACTGGAAAGCGCCCTGCCAAGAACTCGGATGTCATGGTATGTATCCCCCTAGGCAGCGTAACTCTTCTTGCGTGAAAGCTATTTCTAACAATTTTTACAGGCCAGTGTTGACTCTTTCGGCGGACTTGCCAACGAGGGTGCCGACATGGACGACGCTAGCGATGCCGAGGACTCTGATGAGGAGATGGCCGACGCACCCGTCAAGGAGAAGAAGTCCAAGAAGACCAAGGAGGAGAAGGCCTCTAAGAAGGAGAAGAAGTCCAAGGATGAGAAGAAGGAGAAGAAGCGCAAGAGGGAATCCGATGCCACCGAGCTCGTCAAAGCCGACGAGGACGGTGAGAAAAAGAAGAAGAAGAAGAAGAAGTCCAAGAGCGCCGACGATGCTTAGAGTGCATCCTCAGCCGTGGCAGGCCGGCAGCCATTGCCATCTCCCCAACCGGCTCCAGCATACCCAACCCAATCGCAAAGTAATGATGCTGTGTCTTCAACGGGGAAGAACAGAATGCGCCACTCTGCGTCCTCCGAAACCGTTGCACACTCTCCGTCTCCTCCTGCCGCTGTCAATGCACCCGATGTCAGCGAGGCGATGGTGAGCAAGCTGAAGAAGAAGCTCTCCAACAAGCCTCAACTTCGGGCGCAGCTCAAGAATCTCGGGAAGCTGCTGAGCGCCAAGCACTCCCGTGTCTCGAAACCGGAGCGGAAGGGGAAGAAGGCCAAGGCCGCCAAACTCGGCTTGCTTCGCACCATGTTACAAAAATGATGCTCGCTTTGATCATATTCTTTCTCATCATTTTCTCTTTTTATGGCATTGTTTCTCCCCCACGGCCTACCCCGGAGTTTTGAGAGGGATTTTCGCTGTTTGGCTTTTTGGCACTGTATGAATTTTTCCTTGCCCATATGGGAGAGAAAATGGGTGGTGATAGGCGTTACTATGGGTATAAATTATCTTCATTTACTTCTGAAAAAAGTTGCCCTGGTTGTTTATCTTGCATGTGCATGTTCAATGATGTCTGGAAGAACGAAGGCTCGTCACATCGATTCCCGTAGACAAGTCCTTGACCTGTAATGGCTCAGATTCTACTCCGTAGAGCAGGGAGCGAAAGATTTGCTCAACGCGTGGGGCTAGAGTAATATTCTCTACAAACAGCCACTCTAATGGAAAGTTGCAGGCTGGTGGGCATAGTGGGGTGAGGTGAGATGTGGAGAGGTAAAAGACAAAATTCAATTGACCAATGGACTCAATTACAGCTGGCAAAGGCACACATATTCACGGAAACGAGAGAGGAACAGTTGATTGTTTGTTCAAGCACTTCATTATCAGAAAAAGCCCGATGTGCTCTATGCTACATCAACGCCAGTTTTTTGCAATTGCCCAGCCATCCGTCATCCCGTGCGGTTAAAAAACACATCCAGTCCCAAGTAGCTGATTTATTGCTTGTCAAAGACGTAGGTGAGGTGGCAGCGGCCGCAGTACTGGCGGTCGGCCATGGCAGCCATGAAGACACCGGCACCGCACTGGAAGAAAAGGGTTAGAATCGTGTGGAAAATGGCAAGTGTTGGAGAGAGGGGAAGGGGACGTACGGTATCACTGGGGCACTCGCGGCGGAGGCGCTCGATGCTACCATCGGATCCGACCTTGTAGTACTTGAGGACGGCCAACTTGGTCTTCTTGCGCTTGTGCTTGATCTTCTTGGGGGTGGTGTACACCTTCTTCTTGCGCTTCTTGGCGCCACCACGCAGGCGGAGGACCAGGTGGAGGGTGGACTCCTTCTGGATGTTGTAGTCGGAGAGGGTGCGGCCGTCCTCGAGCTGCTTGCCAGCAAAGATCAGGCGCTGTTGGTCGGGGGGGATTCCCTCCTTGTCCTGGATCTTGGACTTGACATTGTCGATGGTGTCGGAAGACTCCACCTCGAGGGTGATAGTCTTCCCCGTGAGGGTCTTGACGAAAATCTGCATCTTGCCTGCCTTGAGAGAGTCAGATTCGTTCATTCCATCTTACTGTTCAATCACAACAGAGCTGTGCGCTTCTTCAGGGTGGTGGTGGCGGGAGGGAAGCCGCCATCACCAAGGCGGCGCTGCCCTTTCGCGCGGGAAGCATTCGAGAGCCGGCGGTCGCGATGGTGACGACGAGCGGGTGGGAGGGAGGTGGTTGGATTTCAATGGCGAAGAAGCGCAAGCATCATCTTTCAGACATACCTCGACAATAGATGTTATTGCCGTCCTAAGCAATCCTCAGATGGTGCGGATGGTGTGGTTAAAAAAGATCACTGCAAAGCCGAAGAGCAAATCTGTACTGGCCCGGTGGTGCGCGTGGGCGGGCCCTCGCCCCAAGCCCTCCCGTTGGTGTCACATGACCTAGGGCACCTCGTTCTGGCCCCCCAGCGCTGATTTTCTACGTGCCCCGCCAGAAAAAAATATTGGCCCAGCAGTTGTGCGGGACCCACATTTGAGGGCCTGGCTAGCACATTGAATTTACAAAGTGTGGTGGGCGAGCTTCTTTCCACTCTCCTACCAACTAACCCTCTCGACAGCAGGATCAAGTCAGTACGTTTTCTGTTCCCTCATCCAACAATTCAATTCAGTTTATTGACTGTTGTATCAGATACCGCCAAGATGGTCAAGAAGAGAAAGAACAAGTACGAATACCTTCTGTCTTCCCTCATTGACTCAACGCTCGTGTTGCCGCCTGTGCAGTTGAACGAATCTCGAGCCTCAGAGGCACGATTCCCACAACTCGCCTCAACAGCAGCAATTTGCTTGATCGACGGTCACACTCTCTGCGGATGAGCATTCTTGCTAACAACCTCACAGCGGTCGCAACAAGAAGGGCCGCGGCCACGTCAAGCCCATCCGATGCAGCAACTGCTCTCGCTGCACTCCCAAGGATAAGGCTATCAAGCGCTTCACCATCCGTAACATGGTCGAGTCTGCTGCCATCCGTACGCCTCTCCTCTTCTCGATCGCTCCCCCACGACAGCGAGTGAATTTCGCGGCTAACATGCGTCCTTTCCAGGTGATATCTCCGATGCCTCCGTCTTCCAGGAGTACACCGTCCCCAAGATGTACCTGAAGCTGCAGTACTGCGTCTCTTGCGCTATCCACGGCAAGATCGTCCGGTACGTTGCCTCCCATGGGAGTGTTACAACTGCGCCTTGGTTGCGTATGTGCTTCAGAAGAGCCTTGGTCGCCATTTGGACACTCTCCTCCCTCCCGCCTGCACCTTTTCGCCGACTGTGGCCCCGCCGCCCCTGGCTTCGCTCGTCGTCGGAAAGAGGTACGTCTGATTTGATTTGCAATGCTGACAGTCCCCTCACAGTGTCCGCTCGCGTGTTGGCCGCCGCAACCGTGCCCCTCCTCCTCGCGTCCGCTACAACAAGGATGGCAAGAAGATCGTCCCCAACGCTTCCGCCAAGGCTTAAATCTAATGACGGTTATGAGACTTGGAAATGGGAACGGAGTCTGGTTTTGAGATGCGTCTACCTACGGGATTGGGCGCCGGATAGGGACAGTACCCTGCATTGCTCTTCAAGCACAGGTTCCAAAAAAATTCAATCGGACTTTTCTTCGGTGTTGACCTTCAATCAATGTCTCCCTTCCCCGTGACCTCTTCATTTGTGTGCCTTGTCCCCTTCAGTACTGCATGCATCTGCCACGTATCTGAGCTCTGATGGGATGCGTTTCCCTATGTCCCTCAGGGCAACTTTGCCCACCTCGTAGATCCATAGCCACCAATAGCGCCAATCGCCAAAAGAAATAAAGGTGAACAGTTTTCGCTCAACTGATCAGCCATTAATTGCCTTCGTCAAAAAGAAGTCGTCTTAGCATAGACCCGATTGAACCTCAGTTAGAATGTCCCTTATTTTCGCCAGAGCAGAGAATTTATTTGATTGCAACGCAACCAATTCCCCCACCACTGTGTCTATCAAGTGGGCACGACCACGACTCCCCACAGCCATCCAATAGCCAAGGCATGGTCCCCTAGTCGTCCAGCCCGCCTGATGAGGGATAAAAAGAAAGGCCAAAAGGGCAAAAGAAAGAACTCGACGTGGGCCTGATTCGAACAGACGCTCCCGAAGGAACAAGATTTCTAGTCTTGCGCATTAGACCACTCTGCCACCACGCCTTGTTGTTGGTCGAGGCCGGAAAGTGGTAGATGATCCTGTGCAATTTCCATCCCACCGGAAGCCCCACCTGGCGTTGAGAACCTCCTGTCTTCAACCGTTTAGTCTGAAGCTTAACTTCTAACAGAGCCTTTGTGTCCATCCAGAAGAGACATCAAGGTATGCAAAGGGCCAAGGGCCAATGACATTGACTTCCCATCACCTTGCCCCGTCTTCTTGCCATGCACAACAGGCTGATACGGGCGATCATGATCTGGGATTGTTCGACGGCAGAACAAGCCAACACTTGTCAGTGAACGCGACGACCCCCAGTGACTTTATTCCAGTACAGAAATAACAATGTCGCCTATGCTATCCACTAGGTACCTAGCGCCCATCACCAAGGGACTACAGTTTGCCAATGGGACCCTGACATTTCTGTGGATGGAGGCGTGCTTTGACCTACCCTATTGCTGTCGCAGAAGTCTGCGATATTAGCAAAGCAGCCATTCCCTAATTGCTGAATTCAGTAAATAGAACAAACCTGAATCAGTCCTTGCCTCTTTTATTCCTCCTGGGAATCGTCTCACCATCATTCTAAATTCTTGCTCTTGGCATTGTTCTATGCTTAGACACATGATTGATGGAAGATGTAGTCTCACCTACACGTGGATGCGACCAAAGACATTGAACCTAAACTGAACCCTCCTTTGCCTGCCTTGCAATATTATAGGAGCTCATTCCTCGCCGCGTCCGAATTATCAGCTTACCTGGGAAGTCTCTCTTGATCATTTGACCTCATACTGAATAGCGTCTTCGTCGAAGCGTTTTGGTGGCAGATGGATCACATTGTTTGACCACTGGAAAAAGCACGGGCCAGGGCACAGAAAGACGCCCTCTTCCAAGTCGGACGCATTCATTGACCATCAGTTCTTCTTTCATTTGATCGGTGATTCTCAATCCCAAGTCATCAAAAAAACCCAAATCATCACCAGCTCCCCAAAAAGTCAAAAGATAACCGACGTGGGCCTGATTCGAACAGACGCTCCCGAAGGAACAAGATTTCTAGTCTTGCGCATTAGACCACTCTGCCACCACGCCTGTGGTTGGTTGACGCCGGAGCCGCAATACCGATCCATGTTACTCGTATCGCCATGTTCTTGGCCCTACCCTACAGCCCTCATGAGATGCTGATGGACCATGATGCGTGATGATTGAAGATTGAAGCGGTGGTTTGGTGCCCTTATTATTTATTTCGGTTGCCCATCTATTTTAAAAGCTAATAGAGAAGAGGGGGCGTACTTTACCGCACAACCAAAGCGGAATACTGCGATATGTCTTTCTAACTCCTAAACACATCTTGGAACAAGCCATTGTTGCGTCAGAAGCAGCACGATTTCTTCGCTAGATTGTGTCAATTCGAACAAACAAAAACTAAAATGCTCAGTTCTATCTAATAATACAACAGAATGCAATCAAAATCAATTAAAATCACAAAAATCCCCCATATTGCAACTCATCGCTCGCTCAATTGGTGCGTTGTTGGTGGCTTCAACCCCCACCGAACCACAGATAACAAACACACACACCAGATATTAAAAAACACGAGATCCTGACCAGCCGTCGGCAAACTTGACCAACGCAGTCCCGTTCTGCGAGCACGCGTACGGATCAACGCACACTCCCCCGCCGCAGCACGTCCCAACCACGCAGACAGACCCCCCGCCCCGGCAGTCCTCGTCCCTCTCGCACCGGCCCTCGAAGTTGTCGCACTCCATCGCCTCGAACGCCAGCGACTCCCCCCCGGCCGTCTTGCCGCAGCTGCAGTTGGTGTCCTCGATCACCGCTTCCCTGGGGTACGCGCACGTGGCCTTGCCCTGGTCGTCCGCCTCGCTGCCGTTCGGGCAGCACGCGATGGCGGCCGGGTCCTGGACCGTGACGTTGTACGTCCGCGCCGCGCGGGGGGCCCAGTTGAGCGTCGTGACGGCGTCGATGTACGTCGCGCCCACGAGGAGGTTGAGGCTGAGGGGGATCTCGCCCGTGTGCAGGTCCTCGCAGATGTCGTTCTCGAAGCTGCGGTGCTTGTTGTACGTGCCGATGTATTCTTCCCATGGGCTGTTCACGCTGGCGTTCTGAGGGATGAAGAAGCCCTGCAGTGATTCCCACAGTAGAGTGTATCCCGACGCGACGTTCTCGATGGAGGAGGAGCTGTTGTCCGCGTTCGAGCTCCCTCGTTGGTTGTATAGCGCCACGCCGAGAGCATCTCTGCTGAGCATGTCATTGCCCGTGGCTCCGAGCGTGGCGATCATGGTTGAGATGTCTGGGCATGCGCCACCGAACGAGTCGCGGTTGAGGAAGTCTATGATATCATTCTTCACGGCGTTCTGGCACTGCAGGATCCCGGAGATGGCTCCCGGGAACGTGCAGTCAAACTCCCAGGTTCCCGAGTTCTCATCCACGGCGATGTCCTGGCATGTGGTTTCGCCAACCCGTAGCTGGGGATACGCCCGGATTGCCTTTGTCACGGGGCTGCCGCACTGGTCCCTGAGCAAGATTGTCTGGTTGAATTTGATGTCCTCGGCTCGCTTGGTGTTGGTGTTTATCAATGGGACTGGAATTGGCGAAGGGAACGGCTGTGCGCCTGTGCCGACCGAACATCCCACATTCGAGAGGTTCGCAATCTGAGAGAATAGATTGGCAATGGTGATATTTACATCATATCGGCAATCCTTGGTCACGAACCGAATCCCAGAACCGTCAATCTGCATGGCATACCCATCGCTGCTGGTGATGGCCAGTCGACTCCGGTTCGAAATGTCAATGTGGAATGTGCCCTGCGACTTGTCGCGCACAGTCATTGATAACGGCCGGACGCCTTCGCTCTCGAATTCAACGCTCTGGATGTACGGGACCGGCACTGTGACATTGTCTTCGCGGAGCTTGCTGTTGCGCATCAACGCTCTTCGCGATAGCTCGCCATGGGGTTCTTCTGGGAGGTGATAGCATGTGTCTTCGGCCAGTGCCGCCAGGAAAGCTACTTGAGTGTAGTTGGCGGCAGGGAAGGGAGATGGCGTCGGGGCAGTCATATTACTGCTCGACCAAGTCGTTGTCATGCCGCCATTATTGCCTCCCGCCACAGTAGTTGGCGTCTGAGTAGGCTCGGGACTACCGCTATCGCTAAGATCTGTCGACCCTCCAGTTACAGTGTTACTGGTCGGGCTCATGCTGGTAATTCCAGGTACGGAATTCGTGACCGACTGGGATACTGCTCCCGTGGACCCGGTTGGAGACCCAGCAAAGCTCGAACCGGTTGGAGTGGTTGCAAAGCTGCTATTCCATGATTGACTCCCGGTGATCATGGAATTTATGGTGCCTGGGGTGGATGCTCCGGCACTGGTTGACAGATTACCAGTGCCTGTGAGCACTCCAGAGGCAAGGCTTCCTGAAGTTGTTTCAAATCTCGCAGAAGTTCCCAGACTTTCTGATGCTGATGTTGATGCATTCCAGCCTTGGGAAGCTGAGCTCGGAGGAGTTGGAAGCCCCCCTGCTGTCCCGGACAGCCCAGTCTCAGCTGTATCTGTCGCCAATGGCGTTGAAAATCCCGTCGGAAGCCCAGTACCTGCGCCCGAACCGCTCGCTGTCATAGTTCCATTGGCTGTGGAGTTGGAAAGACCCGTCGCGGTACTATCCAACGTAGTTGGCGAAAATGGGGTTGAAGCTCCAGATGCAGTCATCGACAAAGAGCCCGTACCAAGAGCACCTGTCGGGGAAGGCCCCGTTCGTGTGGTGCTGTTCCACGAACCGGACATTGGCAGGGTAGGCGATGAGATGCCGCTCGGTCCAGTGCTGATACCTACCGAGGTCATACCTACGCCCGTGGTGCCATTCCCTGGCTCAGTGGCTGAAAGTGTAGGCATTGAGACTCCGGTAGCTCCAACGCTGGTTCCCGCTGAGGCCGTGGTGTTGTTCCAAGAGCCTGAAGCTGAAAGTGTCGGCGCTGAACTGTCTGTAAGTGTAGTATTGGGTCTCGCTGACGCTGTGCTTATACTCCCAGTAGTGATGTTCAATGGTCCCGACGCTGAAAGCGTGGGTGACGAGATGCTAGTTGGACCGGTGGCGCCTGAAGCTGTCCCTATGCCCGTACTATCATTCCAGAAGCCAGATCCTGACAGGGTCGGTGACGAGAAGCCTGTAGATCCGATGTTCGTTGTGGGAGAAAGCCCCGAGGAGGTAAAGGCTGTAGGCACTGCCGTTCCTGGGGTGCTCGGACCTGAGCTCCATGTTGAATTCCACGACCCTGAGCTCTGGGTTGATGATCCACCCGCGGGGCTTGAGACCGGCCCTGTACCTTGTGAAGATATATTTGCCGCCGTAGGAATACTCGTGAGCGTGCCAGAAGGTGATCCAAACGGTGTCCCAGTGCTATTCCACGAATCTGATAGCTGGCTTGGCCGCGCCGATGAGCCAGTGATAGGGGATGATCCTTGGAAAGTTGGGATGGAACCCGTCACGATAGACCCCGAGGCAATCCCTGACGAGGTAGCACTACCTGTCGTGCTATTCCAAGACCCCGATGCCGTCAGGCTCAGCGAACCTGGCCGGGTTTGCCAAGGGCGACCGGTCCCCCAGGGAGGTTGGGAGGCTTGTTGTGTCTTGTTGCCTGAGATGTCGCTTGATGGTGTCCCTCCTCCACCGGGAGTACTTGTGCCATTATGGGAAGCAGTGGATTGAATCGATACTGGAGTAGAACCTGTCGGTGTCACTCCTCCACTCCCAGTAAGCCCACCCGAGGAGAGAGCCGTGCCCGACGTATTGTTCCACGGAGCTGACAGCCCAGTTCCTATTGTGGCCGATGGACTAAATGGCGTGGGGAGTGTCGTGGGAGGTGATATTATAGTGCCTGCGCCGCTGCCGATTGGCGACGTCCAGCTTCCTGCTGTACTATTCCACGGCCCGGATGCGGGAGACCTGCCTGAGGGCCTTGAGGCGGTAGACGTCGTTTCGCCCCAGGCTCCGCCGTCGGATGGTGTCATCCTATTCGTCACTGTGCTATTCATAGAAGAGACGACTGGGCTGCCAGTGCCAAGTGAGGAACTGGGGGTGCTTGGTGCTGCAGAACCCATACCGGTACCGCTGAGGCTGCCAGTCAAGCTGCCAGTGGGTGGTGTCAGGCTACCTGAGTTGGTGCTATTCCATGATCCCGAAGTTTGGCGACTTGACGCAGCGGACGAGTCCAAAGAGCTAGAAGGCGATAGAGAAAGGCTTCCCGTTCCTGGAAGGCCACTAGCTGGTGTCGTCGTACCGTTCCACGATGCCGACGCTTGAGTCTCTACGCTTGTTGAACCTGTTGAGGACTCCGGAGGCGTCAGAGCAGTGGTGCCTGTAGCTGGTGTGCCTAATAACGATGACACACCACCGGTGGCCGTGCTATTCCACGACCCCGACGAAGCTTCGCTCCCTGTGGCAATCAGAGAGCCAGAGGAGCCGGTGCCGAGCGATGTCGGCAAGGACATCCCGCTGCCAGGTAGAGACATGCCTCCGGTAGCTGTGCCATTCCATGGTGCTGAAGTTCTGCTCCCTGTGACAATCGGGGTACCAAGTGATGCAAAGGGTGTTGATGACATCTCGCTTGTTGCTCTACTGGATGGATTCGACCCTCCAGTGGTATTTAATGATCCAGATGTCTGACTTATCGTAGGGACTGCCGAGCCAGAAGCCGCCCCGGATGTAGAAGAAACGGAACCGGTACCGTTAGCAGTTCGACTGCTTGATGGTACCGCCTCATCTGTTGCTGTATATGATGTACCTGATGCCCCCGATGTTTGGAGGGAGCCAGAGGAAGCAGGAGGACTTGAGGTATTCCCGCTCACGCTGGACGTCTCCCCTGGCGAACTGGAGCTTGAGGCCGTTGACCCTGTCGTGGACTCATTTGAGGACGCACTCTCACTTTGAGACGCCGACCCGCCACTTGATGTCACGCTGGAAGTAGCCGTTCCATCGAAATTCGATGAAAATGTCACCTGATAGGACTCCGTTGAAGATGATTCACCGCCTCCTCCTGAAGAGGAAGCAGATCCCGTAGTCCCCGAACCGGTCTCCGAAACTTGGCTGGACACCGTCGAAGCTGGCGCCGAGCTCCGAGTGTCAGAAGGCATGTTCGAGTAGCCGCTGCCCGTTGCTTCACTGGTCTTCGTCGCAGAGTACTCCGTCAAGACACACTCACACTGCCCCCTAGTCAGCATCCTGGCCACTCACATTCTGCAGATGGGCCTTGCCGATACTCACATAAGAGGATATCTCATCATCCCCAAGACTGGTGTACGCTTCGGGCGTGCTGACCGTCACGCAATGATCATTCATCACGCTCTGGCAAAACTCCCCATCGTCCTCTCGCATGAGAGAGGTGTAAATCTCGTCTTTGCGGCAAGGCGATGCCGTAGTTGTAGCCTGGGGACGAGCCACGGCCCGTCCCAAGAGCAGGGAGACGGCCAAACACCATAACATGGTGCTGGCACTGAGCAGGGCTCTCATCTTCCAAAGGAGGTAGAGGCAAGAAAAACTGCCAGGGATCAAGAAACGAATGTATAGCCTGGGGACTCGGAGAGAAAGCCAGGCCTCATCCCTGTGCTGCTCCTCATTGCTTGAGAAACCAGTCCGCGAGGCTCAAGTATTTCTACCCATCCCACCACGGGAAGCGCTCATCTTTTAACAGAACCGCTCCTCTTGTATCACCCCGTCCATAGCCTCGGCGATGCCCGCCAATTCCGCAAGTGACAGCCCGTGGCAGCGAAAGCAATTTTGCCTGGGTCTTCATATGCCATCACCCTGTGAGACGCGCACATCTCCTCCCTTGGGCCATCGTCTCCCAGGAGTGGCGAGACCAATCGAGAGTGATACGGCGCGGTGGGTGGCTTGTTCCTTTTAGTCAACACCGAGTGAACCGAGTGGGTAGGAAAAAGTGCGCGTGTGTGAGTGACAGTGTGCCACAGCCAGAACGGGGGCCACACTCACATGTCAAAACCCATCCTCTCCTCCAGGCTTCCCGAGGGAGGAAGAGACACCTTGGATGGAATTATACCCTATTCCCAGCTGGATATTGAACCCCGGAGCTCGGTTCCCAAGCCTTCTTGGACGGTCTCGGCGAGCTCCTGTACACTTGACTCTGCCCGATCGCCACAGCACGTCGAGCTGAAGCAGACCGAGAAACTTTTCACTTGGCTGGTTTCATCTAATAAGTGAACCCGTGCAAACATGCGATCGAAAAGGGGCGACGAGCCCATCGTTGGAGATCTTTTGGCGTCCCCCCCTCTTGCGTCAGCCTCAGGTACAGGCTGGGCTCTCTGTGCGACTCCATATCGGTCTCCATCATCCTCGTTCATTTCCGTTTGGGCCACAAGAGAAGGAGGAAGCTTTGGTTCCTGTCTCTGTAGCAGAAAATCCACGCGCACAGGCCTGGCCGAGTGACCAATAGCTGCATTGCGCGGATTGGGGTCGTGGGCACGGCATGGATTCATATCCTCTCTGTCCATCAACCACTGCCTACGGTGATGCTGTGGCTTGAGTCAGGGGAAAATCACCGTTGATCGTCATTCCACGTCCTCCCCTGGCCCGGAGAATGGAATAACTAGTCACGATGACAGCCAATCGTGGGCCTCGGTGCTGTGACATGTCGCTTATCGGGAGACGTCGTCCGAGGCAGGCCTGTCCTTAGATTGTGTGCCCATACCTCCTCTGTCACGTCGTACTCTTTCAATGGCACAAGTATCGAGTCGAGCCGAGTCCGACCGAGGACACTGGCCTATCCTATTTGGAGCATAAGAAATTGTAATTATGAATTGAGGAATTACCCTCTAAGCAGGACTGGTATCTTGATCTTCTCCATCCGTCAGAAAGTGTTGTATCATTGCAGCATAGGTAGTTCATAACCTGCCCCCCGAAATCATCATCATCCATCATAGTATGCCAGAAATCTAAACAACCAAACACCATCCATCTCATTCACTCATGAAAACAGCATCCGCTATCTCAGTGCCAGCGTCGTCGTCAGGCCGCCGCCACCCATTACCGGTCTCTGCTGGGCCTGCCCAGGCGGCCGTTCGATAAAGTCCTTGTTGTCAATCGTCACACTCTTCGTCATGTGGTTGACCTTGTATACGCCAATGAGCCGCGATGCCAGCTCAAACATGTTGTTTCGGAGTGAGATCACTATGAACTGGGCGTTCTTGGTACGTTCCTTGATGTAATTCGCCACAATTGAGACCTGTGCGAGGATTTTTGTTAGCAGAGCTTTCACACGGGTAGACCATGTCTCTAATACGGGAAGGGGTATCACGGTCCTATAGGCAACCATCTCTGACAGGGCAGTAGCCGAGCAAGATCCGCAAGGTTGCCATTGGGAAGCAGGGTGCAGGGGAACAGGGAAAGATGGGTATACATACGTTTCTGAAATCCAGAGCGGCGTCAATCTCGTCCATGACGTAGAGAGGTGTTGGCTTGTAGTGATGCAGTGCAAAGACGAGGGCCAGACTGCTGAGAGTCTTTTCTCCACCAGACAGGTTGCTGATGTTCTTCCAGCTCTTCTTGGGAGGCATGACGCTGAATTGGATGCCTTCGCTGAATGGATCTAGGCTGTCTACTAGTTCCAGCTCGGCGTTACCGCCCATCGTAATGAGTTGGTACATCTCCTTGAGGCGTAGCGAGATGGCACCCAGACCGTCCATGAAGCCTTCCAACCGCAGCCGCCTCAAGTCATCACACCTCTTCTTGGCGGCGTCACGCTGGTTGAGAGATGTCTGGAGATCGGACGAGCGGCTGGCGTGCTCCTCGACTCGTCGGCGGTACTCAGCTAGTACACCCAAGTCGACATTGACATTCTGTATCTTCTCTTCTAGAGCGGCAATCTCACCCTTAAGAGTCTCCTTGCTCATGTCTGCGAGCTCGTCGGGCGTGTATCGGGGAAGTTGTTGTGGAGGATTATCAGATTCTTCATCTTCGTTAGCCTCGGTCTCTGGCGCCTCTTCGGGGGCGTCCACCATCTCTTCATCCTCGGATGACTTCTCCGTACGCCCTTCGTCACCATCCTCGCCCTCGCCCTCAGAGTCTTCCTCCATAGGTGACGGCTTTCGCTTCTTCTGGGGGGAGTCTGGCTTTATCCTGGCCCCGACAGGCGCTCCCATTAGATCCTCGATTTCGTGCATCGTGAGTTTGGAGAGCTTATCGTCCCAGTACCGAAGACGTCGCTGGTTCTCGATCAGAGCCTTCTGGTTTTCTTCAAGCTTGTTCTTCATCTCGATCTCGATGGCTCGTGTTTCGTTAAGCTCGTTGGTCTTCTCGTCAAGCTCTGCCTTGAGCGCCTTGAGCTCCTTCTTCGTAGCTGCAAGGACCTCTTCGGCCTCTGACACGCGGTTGCTCAGCTCCTCGGCCTTCTCGCCCTGGTTGTTGATATCATCCTCAAGCTTTTGAAGGTCCTCTGCAGCGTTGTTGAGCTCCTTGACAGCCTTGGTACGATCCTTCTCGAGCTTGACTTTTTGCTTCTCAGCCTTGACCTTGCGTACCTCGGCATTCGAAGTCTCCTCGTGATGACCCGCTATCTCCTCCTTGACAAAGTCGATCTTAGTTCGTTGCGACCTGAGCTTCTCACCTCCTGCCTCCATAATCTTATCCTGCAGGGCCTTGATCTCTTCCTCAATGCTCGAAGTCTCCCCGTGCAGCTTCTCGATATCCTTGGTAAGCTTGGCGATTTCTTTCTGGAGCGCAGCTGCACGGCTGTCGTCATCGGCCGAGGGCTGGTGCTCCTTGGCCACCTCCTTGATGCGGCGCTGCAAGTCGGCAATGTTGCGCGTGGAGCTTCCAAGCTCGAGGCTGAGCTTCTGCATTTTCGTGTCTAGTTGCGGCAGCTTGTCGTTGATCTCTCTGAGACGGGTCTCACATTCGCGCTGATACTCCTGGAGTTCCTGCAACCTGGATTGCCAGTGGTCCCGATCCTCCTCAAGCTTGGTAACCTGCTCCTTAGTCGTATCGGCTACAAGCTTCGAGGACATCAGGCCCCTTCTGGCGATATTTCCACCACCGGACAGGGTTCCAGACTTGTCAATGAGCTCACCCGCAAGCGTGACTACTCGCCAGCGCCTGGCACCGTAAGCAATGCGGTTTGCTTGGGCGAGATCTGCTGCAACTAGGGTATCTTGCATGGCTTGATAGAAAGCTGGCAGGAATTTCTTGTCCTTGGATTGGATAAGATCAAATAACCGGGGGGCATCCTCGGGGGTTTGGATTGGGGACATGTCTCGAGACCGAAGCTTGTCCAGGCAAAGGAAATTGCCGCGTCCGACATTGTACTTTCGTAGGTGCTCGATGCATTGTTGGCCGGATTCGACGGTCTCTGTGACGAAGTTGTCCAGAGAGGGACAGGCAGTGGACACGGCGACGTCGTATTTGGGGTCAATCACACCGAGGTTGCCCAAGCGTCCGTGGAAGCCGTCAATCCGACCCGACTCCTTCATACGCATGAGAGCAGAGAGGACGTTGCCCCTCGATTGGGTGCTGGCCAAGCTGGAGCGAGCCTCGTCCGCCTTTTGACGCGCACTGGAGATCTTGGCCCTCATCTTGGGCTCTTGCTCAGAGAGAATCTTGAGCTCAGACTCCAACTTCTCCGCTTCCTGAATGAGCTCCTCTTTTTCGGCCTCGTACTTCTTGAAGTCTTCTTGCTTAGAGGCTTTGCCCTCCTCAATGGCAGAGATTTTGCCTTCGAGTTCCTTCATGGCAACAGCACCAGCATTGGCCTTTTCTCGGAGAATGTTGAGCTCACTCTCAGCGATCGTGATCTGCGACTGCTTCTGGTTGATCTTTTCTGTCCAAGGTTCGAGTGACTTCTGCTTGCTGGTGATTTGGTCAGAGAATGCCTGTGTTTTCCCTTTGAGATCCTCTCGAATCTTGGCCAATTCAGCCTCTTCTTCTTTGAGCTGCTCCTCCAGGTCGGCGATCTGGCCGGCGCGGCTCTTGATCTCCTCGGCGCAATCAGAGATGGTCTGGTCGGCCTCTTCCGAAGTGTTCTCAGCATTGGCGATTGTTCTCTCGAGTTTGGTTTTCTTATCCTCCAAGAACTTGTGCTTCTCGTCGAATTTGACCCTTTCCTGTTCAAACTTGGACAACTCCTTGGCCATGCTTTGGGCCTGCTTCTCTTGCGCGTCAAACTCCTTGCCGGCCTTGGAATGTCGCTTCTCCAGATCCTTGATGAGCTGCTGGCTACCTTGATGCTTCTCCTGCTCAACATCAAGCTGAGCCTGCATCTGGTTGATAGCTTCCTGAGTGACTGCAACGTTGTCGTTGCATTCACGAATGAACAGCTGGTAAAGCGCAGACTGCTTCATCGCCAGTTCGTTCTCGTCTCGCATGTACGCGACAGCCTTGTTCTTTTTGTCCTCGAGACTATTCTTCTCCTTCTCAACGTGTTGAACACGTCCGTTCTTCTCCGCGCACACCTCGTTGAGCTCCTCCACCTCTGTTGCGGATTCTTCAATGGGAGTCTTGTACTTGGATGTACCGATGATGTCTTCAAGATACTCGAGGAGGCCATCGTCGTGCTCGTTTGCTGCCTTGGGCCTCATCTGAGCAATGGACTCGACTTCGCCTTGTAAGATCAAGAACCGCTTGTGATCGAGATCAACGCCGCGATCGCGAAGGAGCGTAGTCACCGTAGTGAAATTAGACTCCTTGCCGTTGATGTAGTATTTGCTGGAATTGTTCTTGAAGGCTTTTCGTGAGATGATGAGCTGGGAATCGGGGATGACTGTATGGCCGCCGCCGGGCTAGTAAGCTGTTAGTAAGGGTGATGCGCGTAGAATACTGGAGCATGCTAATTACCTGATCCATTACTTCCTGGAAATGCACAGAGACCTCGCAATGGTCTAGATCGGGGAACTTTGCAGAGTTGTGGATGAGCGCAGAGATCTTGCCCTGGCGCATCTTGCTCGCTCGGAAACCGAAGACGAAGAGAAGCGAGTCAATGACATTTGATTTACCGGAACCATTGGGTCCAACGACAGAGGAGAATGACGCATGGAAGGGACCGATTTCCTGTCGACCGGCGTAACTCTTGAAGTTTGTCAAGTACAAGTGAGTGATGACGATGCGTGATTTGGGTGTAGTATCCTCGAGAGATGGAATCACCATCGTTCTCGACTTGAGGACAATGTCAATCGGCTTGTCAATGAATGCGGGGCCCTGGATGGTCCTCGGCGGCTTGATAGTGGTCTGGCCCATCTTGCGTATATTCAAGGTAGATGTGGCATTAGCTAGAGGGGTCTGTGGCGGCTTGACCACTGTTGGAGAGGATGCTGAAGCCTTGGGTGCTGGAGTGGGAGGTGTCGGAGTCGGGGGAGTTTCAACAGGATCGCCCACAACTGTTGCGGTGGAGGGGCGCGCGCTTCTTGATTTGCGCTGTGTCGCTGGCGAAGGAATTTGACTCAACTCGTCGACATCCATGTCAACTTCGTGCTTGACCATGGTATCGTCAAAGGTCTGCTGGCTGACATGGCTCAATTCCACGGTGCTCACGGGCTCAGGCTCGGCCTCAATTTCCTGTTCTGGTTCCTGCTCCTGCTCTTGCTCTGGCTCCTGCTCTGGCTCTGCTACAGGTTCTGGCTCGACTGGTGCTGGAGTAGGAGTCTTCTTTGGACGCCCTCTCCCACGAGTCGCAGTTGTGGTTCTCGGTGCAGGAGCGGGCGCTGAGGCCGCGGGTGTCCTTCGTGTGGCTCTGGTCGATCTCCGTTGAGGGGCGTCAGGGATGGAATCGTCGGCGTCCTCGGTTTGTCTGCTGGTGTTTGCGCTGCTGCTGACGTCGTCATCGGAGTCGTCGACGGCAGTCCGCCGCGTTGCGCGTCGCGTTGGCCTGCCTGACATGGCGGTGGAGAGGGAGGGGGAGTGTATCGGATGCTGGGATGACAACTCTGGTAGTCAGGATTGTGGTAATGAATGTGGTAACAGCCCTCAGGTGAAAGAAACAGAGATGATTGAAGCTGTTGGGTTAGTAGCTCTGGGGTGGGATGTGAATGAGGTTTGACGCAGAAAAAGCGACGGTGAGATTGGTCCCCCGCCTGGAGTTGGGCTAAAGTGATTGTTTGGAGATTACCTGATTAGGTAAGGCGCCATCTGGACGTAAACAACATCCAAAGCCAATTGACTGGCGCCCCGCGTCTGCACGTGATCGTGCCAAGCGCTAGCCCAGACAAAGACGGCGCTGTCGCCTAGCGCTGGCTGGTCTTTGTTCTCGCTGTATTTCCAGCCCTGGAAAGCAACATACGGGCCTTGGAAATCTACAGCTCCGTCGTAGGGTAGCAGCAACAAAATATCACCACCTCAATTCTCCAAGGTCTTTATTCTCGTATTCTCGTGCTCGTCGCATCTGTACGAGTACCATCTACCCAACATGTTTGACTATTCCGATTTCCAGCAGGTATTCCCTGCTGGCGCGCAGCTTCCCTACAGCAAGGAGCTCATTGCCAAGATCGAGCAATCGAGAAAGACTCTGGACGGCGTTCTCTTCGTCGACCGAGTTCTCAAAGCTCTGGGTCTCACCAAAGGTATGCCAATTGCCATTCTTCTATCAATCACAGCTGCCTGACTGATCCTCACAGCAAAAACCTACCCTCCCAAGTCGGATGCTGCGATGAGGCAGCTGCACCAGCACATTTGCGACGCTCCCATGTCCTTGCACCACAAGTTTTCGCTCCTTTACTACCTCCTACTCGATTTCGATGAAGCTGCCGACCAATCTGTTCCGTCCGAGTCTTTTGTGTCTGCTTCTGGAATGCCAAGCAACTACCAGATCTTCATCAAGGGTCTATGGCATTTGGACCGCAAACAATTTCCTGTACATATCTTCCCGTGCCCCCGTCTTCTCCCACAAACCTCGCTGACCAGCTTCCAATAGAAAGCACTTGAATACGTCGCGCACCCTTCGTTGACGCCCGACTTCTCTGACGAAATCCTCACGGCGCTGATCCGACATGGCGACGACATCAAACTTGCTTTAGCCTACTACCATACCGTGCGCCCGATTCTAAAGTCATCGGAAGCTCTGGAGCTCCTGTTCGACGCTCTCGCGCAGACAAGCGTGACGGAAGCTTTGCTGTTCACACGCACATTCTCCGACTACACACGCGAAGCACTGTTCCGCCGCCTGGTCAAGATTGCCCTTGACGGTGAATCAGTACCTGGAGCAAGCGAGATTGCCCTGCTCCCATTCGAGCCCGAGGAGGAAACATGGTTTGAGGAGTATCTGAGAAGCAGCGAGGGCAGGAATCTGCGGAAGGCGGAGGACACGCTTCTGGTTCGCAAGATCACAGGCGACCACATTACGGCAGCGCGGAAGTACACGGGCAGCGGGCAGTGGGGGCCCATTCTTGCTGGTATTCGCTCGGGAACGGAGGGTCAAGATGAATGATACAGCCTCGTCTCTCCCTCCTTGATCATGTAAGCATAGCGTTGGAGTTTATCAATTCACCTCTGCCACTTGGCAATGTGCTTCCAGGGTACCAATGCATGAATTACTTGCGCCATCTTGATTGCGAATCTCTGAGGCGAACATCCCATAGGTCGCCGTCGTCAGCTCAACTAACAGTGTTTGATGCAGCAACTCGAATCTAGTGCGTTCTGCATACAGTGTGCAGTTGTTTGGCTGCAAAACGACGCTGCGTCCGACCCCCATTGGGCCATGTGTTGATGGCGACACCCTCAATAGGTCGTCGGCCTCCACTTTCTTACCATCCTCCATGTACATGCGTCTAGGTCATGTTTGCAATCTTTCCACTGGCTTGCTCAAGGTTTGGCGAGGCGCCTCTTTCTTGCTGGCGGCATGAGAAGAAGGCAATCTACAAGGATAGTGAACGCGGGTGGTCATGAGACCGTCATAGCACGAGTTGTTTGGTCACTGCCTTGATGCGGCCCGAGCCTTACAGTCGCGAACCAGCCGTCATGTCCCCTTATCTACCTAGATAGCTTTCCCCGTCTAAAGGCTTTCTACTTTGGCTCTATCGACGCCAGTGAGCGCCATGAGATTGCTATAACCTGAGTTTGAGAAGCTGTTGTTCGCAAATCAGCCGTGTAAGATGATACTGCCACCGCTCTCATCTTCGACCATCACAGGTTCTTTAGACCCTAGTTCCTCCCACGTTACGGGCGCGACCGCGGCTGCTTCCGTACATACGGCGGCCTGCGTCGTCACACAGCCTACCACCCACCCATATATTCCTGTCAGATCGGTTGATTCAAAGACGAGATCTGCTGGCTATAGTGATGACACCCACCACTTATCAATTGACACGGGAGGGCTTGGGACCAGGGACCCTACATCCGAGCACGACGGTGGCTCAGACAAGACAGCCCTGATCATCATGGGGGTCTTCCTTGGCGTCGGGCTTCTACTGTCCCTTTTGTTCTTGTGTCGCTGCTTTACTCGCCGCGGTCGCCGCTCGAAGAAACACAAGAGAACTTGTATCATATGCTGTTGTCGTGGTCCCAAAGGCCGCCGAGGACGCCGAGGGAGGTCTGGAGCTGCCGGGTCGCGAGGCGATAATGGTGTTCAGGGACCTGAGGGACGAGAAGGGCCTTCTGGGGGGCAAGGACCCAGAGGGGCCCCAGGAGAGCGGGGAGAACAAGGACTCCGAGGAGATCCAGGGGAGCAGGGAGAACGGGGACTCCAAGGAGATCCAGGACGACAGGGAGAAAGGGGCCATACTGGGGCGGACGGCGCGCCGGGAGCTGATGGCGCTGATGGCGCTGATGACGCTGCAGGCCCTCAAGGACCTCGAGGGGATCCAGGGGAGCAGGGAGAACAAGGACTCCAAGGTGATTCAGGGCAGCGGGGAGGTCGGGGTCGTCCCGGGAGGGATGGCAGGCCGGGAGCTGATGGCGTTGTAGGCCCAGAAAGACCTCGAGGGTCTCACGGAGCTCCGGGCGCACCCGGGCCAAGCTCGTCCTGACGTTGAAGGTTGCCCGGGAGTTGTAGGACAAGATGGAAGGCGAGGTCAAGATGGCCCTGCTGGAGAACCTGGCTGTTGCAATAACCAGTGTAACAACCATGAGAGGGGGTAAGGGCATAGTCAAGGCGACGCGACGACTCACCAGCATGATCACTGTCACTACCGTAGCCATGAACAAGAGAATGGCGGGAAAGTGTAGTGTTTAGCAGAATGATTCCTTGTAACTGGGCAAGCATCGCTTGGGTATGACTGGGCTGGGTCTGCAAATTTACTCGCAGTAATTTTCATCATTCATGTTAATTCGCAACCGGTCAAGGCTCTATTTCCGTGATTCCTCCGTCTGTCAATATGCCTGCACATAACTTACTCTCCCAAATGCTCATATGAACATGCGTAATGGAGAAACAACTGATCAATAGGGGTAGATTCGCTCCCAAGACTGAGGGAATACATGTAACTGTAACATATCCCTGCCATTAGCTTACTTTGATGATTGAGAGTTACGAAGAGGTGCGTCAGAGTGGAGTTTTGCTGATAGACAATAAAAAACCCCGTGATCGTAGAGTGAAACAAGGAGGTTCGCGCGATTCGAAGCAGTGGTCATCAGATGGGTGCGAGAGGGAATGATATTGATGCCATACATTACCCCGACTTGTAGATGGAGATATCAATCGAGGGAAAGCCAGTGATCAATGGCCAAGGACCAAAATATGAAGAGAACACATGGTAATACATTATCCTAAAATCACAACAAGTAAGTCTAGAGGTATGCTGACCGATATCTATCTATCAAATAAAACCAGAGCTGTCGCAGAAAGAAAAGGAACAAAAGTGTCCATTATCCTTTAGAGATTGACAAGAAGCATTATATTTTAAATATTTTACACCATGACACCCTTAATGCCCAGCTCGTGGAAGAAGGCAATGAAATCCTGGGCCATGTTGATCTCCTTGATCTGGCCCGTGCAGTCATCAAGAACCACAAAGTCGGTTCCGTTGTAAGTGACATAAGCGCCGGGATCTAATGTTCTGTATTGGAGTCAAGGGTTAGTTTTTCATGTTTCGAGCATAGCGGGTTTACTCTCGTAACTCACGTTGGGATGGGCATGTTCTCGCCCACAAGACCGTTCATCTTCCAGCGCATGGCCAATTTGTCGCCGGTGCCCACCCAGTGGATCATGTCGAACCAGTATTTCTGCCAGCCAGTGCGGGACTTTTGGATAAAGGCAACGAATTCGTTGCGGCTCGTGACTCGGATGAGGTCGCTGCCGTTGGCGGAGGGGAGGCGGTCGGCATACATGACTAGGTCTGGGTGCAGGATCGTTTCGGCGATGGTCAGATCACCACTCCACATGTTGAGATATTTGGTGGAGAGCTCCTTGTGGTATTCATTGCTATTGAGGTCCTTGCGGCAGCAGCTGGAGTTTGTGTTGGTCTTGGGGGCGGCGAGAGCAGTGGGAGCGAGGAGGGCCAGGCTAGCAGTGACGATAGAAGTAAACTTCATTTTGGCGGTAAGTCTTTGGATGGGCGAGCAGGAAATATCTTGGTAGGGCTGAAATTAGGGCTGAATTAGGCACTGGGATGGAAGGGAGAATGAGGATGAAGGGATATTTGCGAGGAAGTTGCTTGTTGTTATAGCAGTAGTGGTCTGATGGAGTTCATTGTCGCAACTTGGACGAGAATCGATTAATACTTATACTTGTTTGACTACGAGCGTGTATCCACGAGTAAAATGATGATGAATCGTCAATCATCAATGGAAATAGAAACAATCAAACCTAACTGTCAAGAGGGTCAACCTTAGAATCCCAACTGTCTCGATCCTTCCCGCAATGGGGCAACGCCGGCGCACAATCTTCCACGATGGGAATCATGGGATCGGACTCGGATCTAGGATGGGTCACGGACAGGGCTCGTATGGAGATTGAGTCTCGGTGCATGGATATACGTAGATGAATCTGGGAGGAGACGTCAGAGACTGGATGCATTGGGGCATCTCCGCTAACTGCCCGTTGATGAGCCCCCTGTAATCCAACTTGCCGGCGGAGCAACTGTGTGTGTGGAACTGATTTGGCCCGTTCAAAACGCCTTGTCGGCACTTGTTCGCGCGTCTTTCGGCCGCGAAAAGGCTCCAGCTCGCCCTCATTTCCAACAGCCCGGACCAAACCCCATTTGGCCAAGTCTCGGTATTCTATTTCTGTCTCCTCTTTATTCTTAATTATATCAATGGTCGAAGGACCATCTCCAGGAGACGGGAGCTGAATACAGAGCAACATGATGCACCATACCCCTTTATTAACCCACCCAACTCAACGGCCTCTTGGTATATCACTGTGTCGCTGTGACCGCTACGGTACCTGGATTTTGATCTGCGAGACTACCGCGGTTTCTCGCCTTGGGCTCGGCCGGTTCGGGAGCGAATTCGTGCGCATGGCAAACAATTAGCGCCCAAGAATGACCAAAATACTGGGACCTGACCCCCCTGACTGACCCCAAACACGGCACAGCGGAGAGGCGAATCAGGGATGGGGCACACTCAATGTGAGGTACTCCATAGCGTAAGCATGTTAATCGACTGGAGATGTTTCCCAAGTTCATCACCTTGGTTTCCTTGGTCTGGTTTAATATACTCCTTCTCGCCCTATAGAACCATTCTCCTGCTCTGGATGGCGGAAAGGGATCGAGTCGTCTGCTACACAGGAACGTTTCGGCTCCATTTCCAGGGATTTCAGTGTTGGAGCAGCGAATAGGGTCTCTCCCTCGTCCTTGGCTAGTGGGTGGAAGAAGCATGGTCTAATAACAGCCGTCCGTCCTGACAAGGTTTAGCGAAACCACCACTTCAATTGTCATCACGCACTGCCACATTTTTCTTTCCCTTCCCTTCCCCTCACCGTAGCTTGCTTCACGAATTGCTATGCAGATGCGGGTGGCTTTACCTCCCGAATACCCCTTTCGAGCATTGCCCTGCCACTCGATGCCGTCGGATGTTGCTGATTGATGGCTCCCTACGCGTATATTGCTTGATGCTCGGCACATGTACCACCAACTGGGTAATACCCCCAACTACCAGCCCAGTCCGAGGCTGACCTTGTACGTCACTGGCTCTGACACTCACTGCCTGCATTTCACCCTGTTAGCCCGGAGCCGGCACTGCAGCTGACGGCAAACGGCGGCCAAGGCAGACGGGCGCGGCTTGGTTACGGCACCCGCCTATACGCCAGTTGATGTGCTGGGAGAATTGATTGATATTAGACCCCCATCATCTCGCGTCGCCTGCGCGCATATATCTCCCACTGCATATTCTACGATTATTCCATTCAAATAGACTTTATTCATAATGGTCGGCGTGCGGGGACGATCTAAAGCCTGTTCGACTTGTCGAAGGCGCAAGAAAGGGGTGAGTTAGCGGTTCTCATATAATTTCTTCCCTCATCATCATCCACTATCTTTCACCCCTTGCGCAGAGGTGCCCGTCTCCATACTTCTTATGAAAATCATATTTCCGGCCGTGGCCTCTTCTGCTGATCTAGTCGCACCTCATTCATATTCATCTTCTTTCATACTGCTCTTCCTCTCTCCCCAGCCCCGTCCCCTTAATTCACTCCGTTTCTAATTACAAGTACTCGCTCTCCAGTGCGACCTCCAGCAGCCCTCTTGTGGACAATGCCGAAAGGCGGCGATCCCCTGCGGTGGCTACGCTGACAGCTTTGTCATTCACCAGTACCAAGGGGCTGGCTCAGGCACCACAACCACCGACAAGCCCTCCGATGCAGGGCCCAGCAGCCAGACATCTCATCCCGATTGGGGAATCGCCGCACAGGGCCTGGAGTTCGTAGAATGGGGTGCCCCGGTGCTCGCTCAGAAATGGGTAGTGCCGAAATTCCTCCAACCGCCCAACGCCGACGAGGAGGCCGCTGCCGATCCCCAGACCAGAGGCAGAGTGAGCCGCCGTCCGTCTCCCCGCCGGCAAGATAGTCCTGGGTCTGCCCGCTTCAGCTGGGCGGCTTCAGAGGCCGGCGTTCTCGGCGCCTTCTTTGATGCCTACTATCCCAACCGCCGATGCGGGCCTGCGACTACCGAACTGCAGAGGACCCTGGGCGGGTCGATCATTCTACTACAGGACCATGCGCCCACCGATCCCGTCCTTCGTCAAGCTCTCCTAGCCACTGCCTTGCGTACACTTGGCAGACGGCCAGATGCTCCGGCGTGGCTGGAGAAGCGTGGGATAGCAGTGTATGGCAGTGCTCTACAAGAGATGACTGCTGCCCTGCAGTCACCCAAAAGGCGGCAAAGTCTCGATATCCTAGGTGCCGTCCGCACTTTTAGCATACATGAGGTATGGTTCTTCTTCTGCCGTCTCTTCTAGTTGTGTCGTTACTTGGCATGTTTAGAAAAAGCTTCTCGAATGCTGACAACATCTTATAGGCTTTCTTTGGAAGTGATGCGAACCCAAACGGGCTATCGCAGCGGCAGAGCTGGATGGCTCATAATGCTGGAGATATTGCTCTCATCCTCAACAACCCTCCCTCATATTATATCGACGGCTTGGCCCATCGCCTTTTCGTTGATGGAAGACTCCACCTTGTGCGCAACCCCGACCTGTATATAGTTTCGAAGCTCCGGTTCGCTAATAACCTTGTGTGCTTAGATCTTAACTGCATTCCAAATGAAGAAGAAGATATTCCTGGCCCAGTCAGAGTGGATGACCATTCCATGGACCAAGTACGCTAAAACACCGCGCGATTTTCTGATTGATATCCTGATCGGCGTCATGGAAGTCTTCGTTGATGTATATGCCATGCAGGACGCCAACGACGAAAAAGAGAAACACCTCTACCGGGACATCATCAAAGGAACAGCCTCATATCTCAGCAGAGCGCTCGTCAAGTGGCACGACAAGTACGCTGTCCCCACCCTGCCCAGCAAGATGGGCGCCGACTTGTCGGAATACATCACCACCGAAGACATTGCCGATGGCCACGTAATGACCATGTTCTGGGCCAACTGCTGCCTCATTGACCATATCAAACGAATCGCCCTCGGTGAGGTCGACTCCCCATCCAGCAGTCCGCATGGCTGGGGCCCCCACGACGACGAGGACATCGACCCCCTGGATCCCGCCAACGCATGCCACAACATCCTCCGCGTGATGCCCGTCTTTCTCCACCCCTCAGTAGGCATCTTCCGTCAGCATCTCGTGCCTTTTGTCATCTCCGCGGCGGCATTCTACCTGACCTCGGCAGGACCGATGCGCATGCGGATAGAGAGAGCTGCCATGATGGATTACCTTGCCAGGCCCGAGTCGGTCTCCATGGCGAAGTTTCTGTCGAGTATTGAGAAGCGGACGTTTGAGGATTTGCGGCGGCAGGCTGGCCCGCATGAAGCGGGGATGTTTGAAAACACCTGATGGGAGATGTCTTCTTATTTCTCATTTTGTGATGGGCATTATGATAAGATTTATGACTGAAGCGATTGACTTTTCGGGCTGAGTATTGGGTTTATAGATTTGGCATAGGCGCTATTGGTGGGAAACAGGAGTTTGTCTTGCCGGATAGGATATATTTTCTCGTTAGATAATGGATGATATAGAGGTGGTTTGTGGTATGATGGACAACTCTAGCAACGGCGTGTCGAATTCACTGATATATCGACTTTGTAAATCAACCTCTGGAAACCTGTCATTAGCTTTCCTAGTAATATATGATGATTGAACACTTGGAATATATTGCTTGCGAAGTGGCCGTTGACTTGATGTTCATGTTTATTATTTTCTTAGAGGCTCTATGCAATAGCCAGCTGGTCTCATGCATACGTGCTTCTCCGTGTGGAATGTAGCTTCTTGAGGAACATGATCGACGAATACCTATTTAGAAGTAAAATTAGTCGTTACAACATAATAGAAAGGATTTGCTAGAGGTAGGTAGTGGCACTGAGTCTAAAGCAGCGAAAGAACTTCTCGATGTGAATCTAGAGATGTGTCAGTAGCCGGGCAAAGGACTACCAGACGAGGAGATTGTTTAAAGCCAGAATAGTGTAGATAATTACCATTAATGCGATCTTTTGTTCGAACCATGCATCAGATGGAAGGCTACGACACCCACTAAGAAGAGATAGTTTAAGTAATTAGTTTCCTTGATAAATTTAAGTCTTCACCCTGGAGAGGATGGGGGAATGAAAGTTGACTAAATACAATCTTGCGTTGAGATACGGCCAAAAATAGGCTGCGTGTACATGCAACGGTCGGCGAATCAGAACAGGCATTAATGTGCCCCTGTGACAGCATGGCCAAGGATCTCACATGATTCTCACAGATTGTGGCTTGTGACTGCGTTTGGCGAATTAATTGGCTCTCGTGTTTCTGCACATTTGAGTCAGACGAAATCCGCCTTGGCCGTGGCTGAGGCAGCACCCAACCAACAGACGCCTCACAGGCATCCATCCATCCATCAGCTGGATATTTATTGCGCGGCTACGCCCATAGACGTGACCATCCTCACGTCGCACTCCTCTGGAACTGGTCGGCTCTTAAATCCCTCGGCCTGCTCACCCAGATATACTCTCCCGCTGCCCCGCGCAATGGCCTATGTGTGCTACTACTACTCGACCTACTACACTCCCGTCGAATACTACTACCCCTGCTCGCCCCCGGCCTTCACATACTACGAGCCCGCAGCCTACTCGGTTGCCCCCTCACCACGTCCGCGGCGTAGCTACTCGCGGCACAAGCGCCTCCCCGACCGCACCAGAGAGCCCGAGGAGGGCCACTGCTTCCTCCTGTTCTTCAAGGAGAAGTACTGGGACGAGCTGAAGTGCCGCTTTGGCCCCAACTCCAACTATGTCATCAACACCCCCGACAGCGTGATCCGCCAGTTCATGCACGACCACCCCCGCATGGTCTCCTCGAGACGAGATCTTCAGCGATATCGAACGGGGCCCTATCTCACCCATATAGCTCCCGGGGGGCACCATTCGCCTTGGGAGTTGGCATGACGGAATGCCAAATTGTTCGGCGCTATCCGGTTGTTTTGCGCTAATGTTGGTTGTTTCGATATTACCTCTGTTTAAATCATGTATCAATATACCTGCTGGGGGAGTTTGAGTTTGGGAAATCAATAGACAAGACGGGGGACAGGTGGTTACTTTGCCGAGAAAGAGTTCCGACGCTGGTGATTATCTGCCCACATAATCAACTAGTTCATCGCCTTCAATATGACCGCGGGTAATGAAAGCGATATGGAAGAAGCGGGATTTCGCCTTCCTTTCATTAACGACCTCGCCGGCCATCAGATGTGAAAGTAGCATGAAGAGAGTTGGTTGCTCAATTTACGATTTGAAAGAGAAAGACGGAGAATCAGAATCCACAAATCCCTGGAGTTTCAGCTGTCTTGGAAAGAGTGAGGGCGCTCTATTGTTCTATCGAGCTCGTCTTATTGGGGATTAGAACTTTTAGAGTCTAAAGCTCATGGTCTCTCTATTTATCAAAGGTAGAATTCTTAGTTGTGAGAGACAGATGAGCCATGAAATAAGCGAAGTTGACTTGGTCACCCGAGGCTTCAAGTAACGAGCTCTAATAAATCTAGTATCTATAACCCTTTATACTCATAATCTAATGAAGTGATAAACCTGGAAAGTTCCCACGATGAGGTAAGGGAACGTCTCAAGCATTTCACTCTGTAGCCTCCTTGCCTATGGCGGCCAGTCTCGCTATTTCGTCAGCGGCAATCTTCCTCCCATCATACTGGCGCGCTACCTCACCAAGCTTTTGCGCCTTTTCTCTCAGTGAAACACTCGATGGACCGACCAAAGCAGTACGGAAGCCCTCCACCAACGTCTCGGGGACCCATTCTGGAGTGGTGCTCCTGCCAGCCCAGATGCCAATACCTAGATACTCAGCCATGTTGGCAAAGTTGAAGAGATCGAACCACAGGGGCAGAATCATCTGTGGAACACCGGCGCTGTTTCCATTGTTAGCAACGTTGTAGGCATATTTCTGATGGTTGGACAACTCACAGTATGGCTTCGTGATAAGTGTTGGCTCCACCATGGTGCACCTCCAGGACTATGTGGCCTGTCTCAAGAAGAGCGGCTGGTTCTGTCTCCAGCCAGGTCTCGATCCGGATCCGTCGGCTGTCTATATCCTTTTGAATACCTGCGAATACTTCGTCGCCATAGTCGCCAAGCTTCTTGAACTTCCACAGAACTTGAAAGTCCGTCTCTTTCAATAACGTCGCAAGAGCATCGGCCATAGCTTGTGCCCTCCGCTGATTATAAGCGAACAAACTGCCCAAGTTGATTAGAATCGTAGGCCTTTGTGCCAACCAAGAAACCATCTCGGGGTCTTGGTCTGCAGCCGAAATTGAGCTCATGGCAACGTGACCGCAAAATTTGAGATATGGTGGGTAAAATTCCATGGGGAAGTTGGCTTCCTTGAATGTCGATGCAATAACAGGGACATCCTTGATCACGAAGGTGAGCTCAATGGGCTTCTCTATCCCTTTCTCAACAAGGAAGGCCCGTTTGGCGGCGAGAACAGGGGAGTTTACAAGATCATACCCAAGGCGAATCGTGAGGAGTACATTGGCGGCCACCTGTTTCCAAGAGAGCGGAAACTGATATCCCGAGAAGGCTCTTGAGGTAAGAATTAGCGAACATCGCTTGAAAGATGTATATACGGCCTTGGACTCAGCCTATATATGTCTACTACACTTACGCAGGATACTTCCAAGCCACAGCGCCTCGAGGCTGTTCAGCCACAATGAGCTCCAAAAGGCCGTTCGGGACAAGGCTGAGAAACCGTCGGTCCGAATGTGCCGCGAGGTCCGTGGCCGGGGCCAGCATGTTGTCGAGAACAACGATTGCGGGATCAATGTCGTTTATCAGGGAAGTGAGGGCCGTGTACATCTCCCAGTGGTCTTCGGCGTCCCAAGGCGCCAGGCTGAAGACAAGATCCCGCATCTTCTTGGCCCAGTCGGTGGTGCCCACTCCGATGATCATGCCTTCGACATCGCCGAAGTGCTTCTCAAACTCGGATAGAAATGTCGGCCCTGGTATTTCATGCCATTGGATTGGCTTTGCTGAGGGGTTTGATGCTATTGCGGCAGCTGAAATTCGCGAGATTCTTGAAGCCAGTTTGGGGAAGGATGCGTAGTGCACCTCAACATCGGGGTAGTGCTCAAGCAACGCCGAAGCGGCTGAAAGATGGACGTTGGACAGGCCAGTGGCTTCGGTCGTCAGGAATAGCACCGTGTTTTTCCGACCGTGGACTCTCACGATTGGTTCAGCTGTTTCAGCTGTTGGGCTAAGCTTTGGATACAGCACAATGGCGAGAATAGCAATCGCAGTGGGAATTGTAAAGAGGAGCCGACGCAACATTGTAGCCAAGGGATGCAGCTTCCGCGATGAAGTAGTGGGAAGCAAAACTTTCAAGATCTCAAGGAGCTGACCTGGTCAGCAACAGCTTGATAAATAAAGATGACGGCAGACAGGCGGGGATCCCCTTTTATTAGCGTCTCAAGGTTACACCAAGCAGCATTGACTAATCTCTTGTTGGCTCTTGATGTTTCATTCAAAATGCATAGAATGGCCAGAAATATCCAGCGGGTCCATCTGGAAAGCTAACTGCCCCTGTAAATTGTAGGGCTTGAGACCTCATGGCTGGGATTTTGTCCTTTCTTCAAGCTATGTAAGCTGGATAAGAAAGCTTCAGAGCTCAATAGAGGGGGCAATTAACAGTGCTGAAGGACCCGCCGGATACACGTATTACAGGCTGGCGAATATCCACCCATCAAGAGGTGTTCCAAGGCTGTGCCTCGAAACATCTGTCCGCCTTTGGGTTGAACGTGGACAAGTGGATTACCTGCCACGCGAGAACACAACTGTCAGCCCTAGCATGAAGAATCTGAGAAATAACTAATCGAGGATTATGGACCGGGGAGAGCTGTTCGGAGAAAAGTGCTTACTGCCAATCGCTAACAATTGCTCGAATAGGCAGTTTTGAGGTCTCTTACCGGATACATAGGTCCAACTTCCATGGCATAACCACCTATAAAATGTCGACCTTACCTAGAAAGTGCAATTGATGAACGTTTACCCCTGTGATTGACCCGCCAACAGGGCACAGAGATCAAGCTTACGGGCATCTTGCTTACCTTGTCCCTGAATGCGCGTATTTCCCGCGTGAGTTCGATGGCCTGTTCGTCGTCGCCAGTTCAGCTTCGAGCCGCTGAAATTTGGAGGGCGCTACAAGTTAATTTCTCCACGTAATTTTGTGTTTGGTTTGCTTATCAGGACAATGAAATTGTGCTTGCTTACGCCGCCCGCAGGATGCATCTCCAAAAGTGACCTAGGCCCGTGCATTGTTCTAGACAATTTCAAAATGAGTACGTAATAAGCGAACAGTCCGGGGTCCATCAAAGCACTGGAGTCATTGTTATTGCGTCGTCGGTCTCCTCTTTTCCATGTCGGCTGTTGCGCTCACATCTCCGCCTTCACGACAATGTTCCCTTGGGCTTCAACAACTTTTAATCCTGCCGAGGATATACCTGACCTCAGTGGCAAAGTGATATTTGTCACTGGAGGCAACACGGGTCTCGGAAAGCAGTATATTCTTGAAGTCTGCCGCCATCACCCAGCACAGGTTTGGCTGGCCGCAAGGAATCTCGAAAAGGCGCGAGCGGCCGTGGCCGAGATCCAAAGCCAGGTCCCTGGCGCTCCAATCGAGATTCTCGAGATTGATTTATCGTCGCTCTCCTCCGTGAGCAAGGCAGCTCGCGAGTTCCAGCAACGATGCGATCGGCTGGATATCTTGATGCTCAACGCCGGCATCATAATGGCGCCCCTTGGAAAAACACAGGATGGTTATGAGGTACACTTTGGTACCAATTACGTTGGCCATGCACTGTTGACTAAGCTGTTGCTTCCAACGATTGAGAAGACAATAGCTGGCCAGGAATCGCCTGATGCACGAATCTTGGCTGTGACCTCTTCTGGGTATCAGGTGGCACCGAAAGAAGGCATTGTATTCGAGTCCGTCAGAATGACGTGTGCCGACTGGTGGAATATGTCGCGATATGGGCAGAGCAAGCTCGCTTTGATTCTTTGGACCCGTCAGCTCGCCAAGCGCTATCCAAATATCAAGTGTGCCTCCATCCATCCAGGCGTTGTGGACACTGAGCTTGGGATACCTCGTGGTGTCGAATTGAGCTACTTTTCGACGTTTTTGCGTTGGGCGTCCCTCACCCTCCTCCGTTACGTCTCTCTTGAGGAGGGCGTAAAGGGTCAGCTCTGGGCGACGGCCACCAAAGATCTGCAGTCGGGAGAATACTACATCCCCATTGGTAAAGTTGAAACATTGAAGGCAGAATGGAAGGATGATGCACTATCAAATAAGCTCTGGGATTGGACCGAGGAAGAGCTCAAGCCCCATTCTGGTTGAAGGGTTTCACACCATGCTATTATCGCTGGCTCTGGTGTCTGCATTCGACCACGTTTTCCTTATTGACATCTCGCTTTATTGGCCGGAGATGCATCGTATATCTTATTTGATCATGTTGTCTCCTACCTGGGTCAAGGAGCTTAGACGCCTATCTCTGACGAGTTACACTCCGGCAGCTCCTAATATTAAATACCTTGCAAGGAAAATGTTTAGATGACATCCTAAAAAAGCACTTCTCCATTATTGCGTGTAATATTTTTGCCGTCACTCTATCCTTGCGCTCGCCTTGGACATATTATTTTGTAAAAGAATAAAACACAATTTGATGGATCGTCAGTTTGTTGATTATTGTAGGTAACTCCATAGGACATTTATTACAGAATCAAGAGCCAAGATCTTAGTTCTAGAAAGGAGATCCTAAATCAACGCTACAATTGTATGTGCTGTTGCGCGTATCGGAGTTAGACAGTGTTATAGGAAAGACCTAGAAGTCAACGGCCAGAAATGGGGATAAGAGCTGATTTGATGTTAATAAAACCCTGTAGAAGGACCATAAAAGCGGCCGTTTGTGCAAGTTCACGAGTCGCTTGAATTAATTTCGTTTTAAAACACCAACATAATCAGAGATGTCATCGAATTTTTATAAGACAATTAATAAAATTCTAAATTTCTACATTATGATTTTTACAAAACAAATCGCAGTCTACCGCCACTTTCATTGCGGCTTCTGTATTCTCAGACATGAGTCTTTGGGTGTAGGGTAAGTCTACTGGGAGGGGATCTGAATCGCTGGTGAACGCGCTGTAAAATTTCTATTCCCACTAAAATCTAATGTCTCTAATAAACGCTGGCCTTGAAGTAGCGTGCATGTTCTGATGGCGGTAATGCGGCCACCGGTAAAGCCGGATAGACTTTCAGCGTGCTACGAGCTGCTCGGGCCCTCTGTGTTTCAATCTAGCAGCTGCATTGGCTGAGGTAGTCATTGTTTGCGCCGTCAGCTCAGTTCATCCAAATGTCATCGATCATCGGCCGTAATGGCAGCGGGAAGCGAGCCAATCGACAAAGAGAACGCGCTCATTAGTCACGTCCCTTGCATAACCTAAATTTGAAGATGACTAGATGGAAGAGGAAGGGACTTTGTAGCCGCCGGCAGAGCGTCTTCTGCTTTCAGCTGTCTTGCCTGCCTAGTTGGACTGCATCGCGCGTAGATGTGGACGGCCCCATCTGGGATGCGCCCAAGAATGGGAAGACGGCTTGCCCAAAGCACCACAATGACGCTCATTGTGGATTACTGGCCTCATTGGAGCCATGGGGCAAATTCGCTGGCGGTGCCGGTGCAAAATACCCGCCTGGGACCAACCAATCGAGTCGATGGCACCTTGTTCGGCGCAGTGCAAGCTCACCTGAAGTGTGCTGTCGGCCTGCAGTGGTCCTGCCTGCTGTCTCCAGCCCGGCGTCTAAACCATAGGACATGGACTCTCATCGCGGGAGCAGACCCATCTCGTATGGCAGCCAGGCGGCGGGGATCCGAGCCAGGGGGCCCCTCGGGCTGGGCAAATCAGACCGTGGTTCCCTGCCAAGATCCCGTTGTTAGCGGCAGGGCAAAGGGCAGGGGGACAGCTGGACTGTCGGTAGACAAAGCTGAAACCTCCCATCAGCTCTTGTTAGCGCCCGTGAGCCAAGTGTTGCTGATCAGACGGAAAAGGGGGACAACGGCTCCCCGGCCAATGCAGGGGTCTGCACGTTGGCCCCCAATCACGGCTCTTGACAACCGCTGAGAAGAAACACCCGCCCTGGATCCACAGAAATGCTCTTCACGGACAGCCTCTCGTTGAGTCTTGGGCGGGCTTTGGGTCTGTCCCGAAATAGAACGAGAGAAATCAGGCCCAATCCACCGCTATCCGAGATGGCATCAACCTTTAACCATAAAGGTTGCTACACGGCCGCATCGTTCATGGCCTCTCCTTTGTTGCCCTCACTATCTTTGGACTCGGTACCTTAATTCCTTCCTCATATTTCTTGTTCCCTTGTTCCCTTTGTGCTCGTCTCAGCCACCAGACAGGATAGCTCCCCCCTTCGCTATTGGGACTACTGTCTACCATTGTATCTTTGTTATTACTTTGTTTTCCATCCCGACATCAGCACATGTGCGCTGCTTAATAGAGACGGACCCGGAGTTCACTCTTTTTCCCTTGCCATCATATAAGCTTATCGCTGTTACTGCCCGTTCGCTTGTTTAACCTAATACACGCACATATACTTGCAAGCGACAAGTCTATATTTTCATCAACATGAAATTCAATCTTTACCTCGGCGCTCTGGCCGCTGAGCTGGCCACCGCCGCCACTCTCCCCCGAGTCCGATTCCCGCGCGGAGCTGGTAGAATCAGAGGAAGACAGAGCGCCGTCATCACTCCTGGAGCGTCCGGTACGCTATCAGAATCCGTGCAGATGACGACCTCGACCATCTACACCACCTCCGTACAGACCATCACCTCTTGCGGGCCCGAGGTCACGTCGTGTCCCGGCGGAGGAGGACCTATCCTCACCACTGTCACTATCGCAGTCTCTACTACTGTCTGTCCAGTCACGGAGGTCGGGTCTTCAGTCGACCTGCCCCCTACTTCCGAGGCCGCCCTGCCTACTACTTCAGAGGCTGCCCTGCCTTCGACTTCCGAGCCCGTCCTGCCTTCTACTTCCGAGACCGTCCTGCCTACTACTTCCGAGCCCGTCCTGCCTTCGACTTCTACGATCGTTTCGTCAATCGCTTCGACCCCAGCCTCAGACATCCCTCATTCAGATACCCTGCTCCCTACAAGCTCTCCAGCCTCGGATGTTCCTCACTCAGATACCTTGGTTTCTTCCAGCTCTGCAGCAACTCCTGTCCCTGACTCGTCTGTGGTCGCCACTCCTACGTCACAGCAGATGACAACCTCCACCATCTTTGCTACCTCTACCTACACTGTGACTTCGTGTGCTCCCGAGGTCACAAACTGCCCTGCTGGCTCCACCGTCCTTGTCACAGAGACGATTCCTGTCTCCACTACCATCTGCCCGGTCACAGAGAGTGTCTCCGGAACTGGTGTTCCTTCTGGGGATTCTTCTGTTGTCCCTACTGGTGCTCCCAGCACAGAGCCTGGCCATGTGTCGTCTGAGCAGCCAGTGCCATCGAGCACACCTGGACCAGACACCTCATCTGTGCCCATTACACCTTCCCAGTCATACCCACCTGAGAGTCTGACTACTTCCACAATCTTTGCCACATCCACCTACACTGTTACTTCTTGCGCACCGGAGGTTACAAACTGCCCTGCTGGCTCGACTGTGCTTGTGACCGAGACAATCCCCATCTCCACAACTGTTTGCCCGATTACTGAGTTGCCCTCCGGAACTGCAATCCCATCAGGCGATTCTTCCGTGCTCTCGTCGGTAACTGAGACTGGACCAGTTCCAACTCCCACCAGCAGTGAGTCTGGCCCTGGATCTAGCTCATTGACCTATCCTCCTGAGAGCCTGACTACCTCTACCATCTTTGCCACATCCACCTACACAGTTACCTCGTGTGCTCCCGAAGTCACAAATTGCCCGGCTCATTCGACTGTGCTTGTGACTGAGACCATCCCCATCTCCACAACCGTCTGCCCAATTACTGAGGTGCCTTCTGGGACTGCCGTTCCCACTGGTGGCTCTTCTGCCTTGCCCGTGCCCTCAGGAACAGAGAGCGGCCCGGTGCCAACTCCCACCAGCCAACCTGGTCCCGGATCCAGCTCTTTGACTTATCCTCCTGAGAGTCTGACCACCTCTACGATTTTCGCCACATCCACATATACCGTTACTTCGTGTGCTCCTGAAGTCCCAGACTGTCCAGCTGGCTCAACGGTGATCGTGACAGAGACAATTCCCATTTCCACCACTGTCTGTCCCATCACAGAGACTGCAACTGGCTCTGTATCCACGACCGAGGGCGCAAACCCAACGGGTTCCACAGATTCGACGTCTGGACCTGAGCCAACTACTTCTGCCCCTCTCCCAGGCTCCAGCTCCAGCGGCTCTCCTGTCTCTACCCCCGAGCCCACTGGTGTTCCTGGTTCTACCACCATTCCTGCTCCTGGAACTACTACCGACGCATCTGGTCCTACCACTGCCCCTGGCTCGACGATCACTTCATACCCTCCAGAGAGCCTGACCACCTCAACTATCTTCTCTACATCTACCTACACGGTGACTTCATGTGCTCCCGACGTTCCAGACTGCCCCGCGGGCTCAACGGTGATTGTGACCGAGACCATCCCAATTTCCACCACTGTGTGCCCGATTACCACAACCCCGTCGCACGATGGACCTGGAAGCACTGCTCCCGAGCCGACTGGCACTAGCCCTCAGCCATCCTCGTCTGGAGTCCCCGGCCCATCTTCATCTGAACTGCCTGGCCCGTCTTCATCTGGGGCGCCCGGCCCATCTTCCTCCGAGATTCCCACTTCTGGGGTGCCAGTCCCAACGACTACCGTCGGTGGCACTACTTCCAATGGATCTCCAGAACAGCCATCCACCACTGGACCAGTCACTCACCCATCTGAGAGCTTGACCACTTCCACCATCTTCTCAACCTCTACTCGCACGGTCACTGATTGCGGTCCTGATAGGCCAAGCTGTACCGATGGAACGACCACCATCGTGACCGAGACTATTCCAGTCTCCACTACGGTTTGTCCCATTACCACAACCCCATCGCATGATGGACCTGGTAGCACTGGTTCGGAGACAACCCAGCCTCCTGTGACGTCCGCCACTGGCTCAGAGTCCCCAGAGAAGCCCACCACATCCTCTCACCTCCCAGATGTCACCCAGTCTACGCTCACCGCGCCAGTGACAACCACCTGGACCAGCACATCTACAGTCTACTCGACCTCCTTCCAGACGGTCACTAGCTGCGGCGCTGATGTTACCAACTGCCCCAATGGCGGCACCACCACAGTTGTGACACACACTATCCCCGTCTCAACCACCATCTGCCCTATTACCGAGACGGTTGTGCCAACTCATTCCACCGGCGGACAGTCATCCAACGTGCCGGGCGCCTCCTCATCTACCTCGATCCCCAGGGAGCCATCCGTCTCCACGATCCCAGGACAGCCTAGCCATGTCACCTCTGTCATCCAGTCCACCATCAACGGCACCCCCACCACCGTTCTCATCTCCATCTCCCAGGGTCCCTCCTCCGGAGCCCCTGGTCCCTCAAGCACAGGTCACGGTGGCGACGACACCCCCTCTACCGTCCGCTCCACGGGCCACACAACCATTGGAGTCACCTCCTCCAACTCCCCAGTAACCCAGTCCGGCATCGCATCCTCCCACGGCCCTGCCCCCTCGTGCACACCGGGCTCGGCCGGCTGCTCCGCCGTGACATCCTACTCCTCATGCGTCCCCGGATCAGCCAACTGCCCCTCGGCCGGCACGACTCTGCGCTCGACGACGTACACCACCCCCGGGCAGCTTCCCAGCGTCAGCTTCTCGCAGCCTGCCACCCTGCCCACCACCGCCGCCGCAGGACGGTTCGCTGGTGGTTGGAAGGTGGCGGTTGGCATTTCCTTATTTGCCGTCTTTTTAATATGAGGTATATGATGAGATGGAAGAGAGATGTTGAAGCAGGAGATTGGGCAATACGCACTTCCCTTGGACAGTTTTACACTTTTTTTTTTAATTTTTATTTGTTTGGGTTATGGAGCGCCATGATAATAGATGCTCCGTGGAGTTTTAGTTTAATGCCATGTCTTGTTTATAATCATGCTAGAATTGCTGGGCAAGAATGGGAAATAAAATGTTAATCCTAGAATTCAAAAAAATAAATTGCCTATCAACTAAATTTGGACCAGCGAGGTAAAAAGTACTGATACTGTCCTTGCCCTGTTTTTTTATGCTAGAATTCTGGAGCGTGTTTTTAGATTTTTTCTCGTCTTAGCTAGTGATTCTAATTTCGCAGCCTAGTAAAAATATTCCATACATTCCTAGAGAAATGGCCGAGTACATCAGTTGCTTCGGCTGATAAAGATTGGTCCAACGTCCTCAAACTGAAGTCTGGGCTCGTGGTATCTGTACCGAGATACCGTCCATATTCCAACGCAGCTTTCGATTGGCTCCTGGTTGCCATCGACAGAAGGAAACTCGTTGATGATGACTTTGTCGAAATCTTGCTCAAAAGAGGATGGATCTGGACACTGGACGGCGGGATCAAGCGCGAAAACCGCGAGGGAGTCAACGTGCTGGTTCTCAGGCACGATTCTGATAGTCTGACCGAGATTGGATCGAAACTGCTTTCCTGTGAGAATCTGTGTTGGGGATATACTGTTAAAGATTAATATCACGAACCTCAAGACCTCTCTTTCCCGCTGCTACCTGGTAGACCAGAAGCAGTGAGATTCTCTCATCCCTGCCGTGATCCAGATGAAGGGAAATACTGCTATAGCCGAATCTGCCCTGCTTAACAATCTTGCCATCGTCGTAGTGAAAGGCGAGTCCGGCAATGTTCCCGTCCACGTCGGGAGAAATCTGAACTTCTGTCAATCTAACTGGCTGTCCTCTGCTGTTAACGTCCTCAAAGAAGTAGGTGTTGCGAGGGAAGTGGTATCTCATCGAGAGCTCGCGAAATCGGAACGAGCCGGCGGCGAAATCTGAGCTCAAGAATTCAAAATATGACCGGCTTCGACCGTCGGATAGATCGAAGGGCCTTGGATGCCTCTCCGAGTGGCCGAAGGCGAGTGTTTTCTGTGCCAATAACTGGTTTGGGTCTAGGCGCACCTGGACATCGTCCATGCGTGAATTGAACCCCCATATAATAGAGGTCTATATTGCAATATACATTAGTTCGCTTGAACAGGTGAATGGACAGTCAATCACTCACAATATCCTCAAATGGCGTGGCGGTATAGCGCACGTAAGTCCGGGCACCCCTATTTGGGGGCATTTGCGTCCGCACAACTCTGTTTCGAGTAGTGCCGAGTTCGATGCCTGAGATCTTCCCCAATTTCTGCACGGGAAATTGGAACGTAACCTCCATTGTGGACCAAATAGTCAAGTCGATGATCCGTTCATCAGGTTGTAGGAGGACGCGGGCTGATTCTTGGATCCACTGGCCAACAATTACGTCTCGCCGGTCGCCATAATACTCAATCCACAGACCGGACATGTGAGATGCTGAGCGGCAGCGATTATCCGTGCCCATCGACATTCGTATACGACGAATCCCTTGGAGGGATGCTGTTGTGAAGCATGACCCCTCTTCTTGGTTCATCCAAGGTGCATTAGCTGGCGCCGGCCCTGCATTCTGAAGAGAGGTCGTGTATGGGGCTGCAAAAAGGCTGCGAGGTGGACAGGGCGCCAGAAAACTTTGACTCTGGAGGCTTTCAAATTTCCAGTCAGGAGCCTATAGTCATGCCCAGTCACTAAGCCGTACTTGTATACTTGATATCGAGGGTTATGGGCATCAACTTACAGAGATTGAGGCCACCACGGCGAAGATCGCACCTTGCTCTGATGTGAGCACTTCGTCGCACTTGATCTCGGAACCATCAAAAGGGCCAAATATGTAAAGATGATTAAAGTTGGTCCGGGCCTTGATTTTCGTCGGTCAGCTTCAATATCAACGGATATAAAGGGAGATGATCAAGGCGAGGGTTGACATACCACAATGTTCTCTACAAAGTTGTGACGTCCCAGCTTGCCACCTGGGGCAAACTGAACAACTCGCTCTCCGTTCTCTCCATCGACTAAGAGGGTTTGTTCCACGCAGCTGACCAGTCTCCCGTCAGGTTCCATGAACTCTTGATGCCCGTACAGCACGGGTTCTCCCTCTGAGTAGGTAAAGCGGAGGCCGTAGATGCCAGCCGTTCCATGCACAAAAGCAGTAATGCTATGAAGCGACGAAAGCCTTGAGCCGTCTGGGCCGCCAAATGGCATGTATAAATTAACGGGAAAGATGGCACGTTCGTGTGGTGTCGGGATAGGCAATGCCGTCAAGTCCTGATTTCCATCAGGTGGAATTGGAGGATTCCATAGAGCTACTGGGCCTACCTTCATGTTTTGCTTGGTATCCTCGATGAGCTGTATCGTGACTGCTTTATACATCTAGAACTCTGGGTGAGCTTAGACAATATCAAGGAGTTTGTCTTTACCTACATCAAAACGGAACTTCAACCCAACTATTGTCGACTCGGGGACCAGACGTTTGATTGCGATTACGCCGTACCGACGTCTCAGTTTCCCTACAGTGTGCATGTGGATTTCGCCATCGGATTTGGCGATGAAGAATTCTAGACAGTGAATTCCGGAAGTAGAAATATAGACGTCGATATATGATATTTTATCTCCAGGGCCAAGGAAGATAGATGTCAAGGTTGACGTGATAATCAAACCCGCTTGCTGAACATCTCTTGGCAGATCGTCTGAGTGCTGAACGGAAACTCGACATCCAGAAATAAATTCGGTAGACGAAAGCACGATAGAGGAGAACTCAATTTCCACACGATGGTCATCTCCTTCCCCACGAAAGAGCAGCTTGTGTTCATTATGGAGCATAACCCCAAGCTGGATTGGCTGCTTGGGATTGGGGATTCGGAAGGCAGGGAGCTCAGGGGACGAGGCTTGTTGAGTCAAACCCTGATTCGACGAGAGAGCGCTCGTATCCAGCTGTTTGTCACCTCCGGAATTAAGCAGTCGACTAATAATGACGGACAGATCTGACAGGCAGCGCCAAATCCGACGACGATTGCGAAAACCATCTGCGCCGGCCACATGTCTGAGGTGCCACTTGCAGCAAAAATAACCTCGAAACCAATCTGTGGAGACCCAAGTTGGTATTGTAACACCGTACAGACAACCCATATCGCGGTCGGAAGCGAAACGAGAAGTCCAGAAGGACTGAGGAAGATTGTCGATGGCACCTAGAATTGCTACTCGCCGTGAGGCCAGTCTCGCCGAGCACAGATCTTCTGACGGCAAATGCAGTAGAATGTCTTGTACTATTTCGTCAGGAAGCTTGTAAAAGGGGTCAGTATGGGATAGCGGCCCGGATGGTCGAACTCTGAGATTGCTGGCCATCGCTATACCAAGCTCCTCGAGACTGAAAGTAGAATCGGCATTGGGCGGAAATGGCTCGTCGGGATCAGCACACAAGAGTTGACGGCCTTCCTCGCTCTGACGCATACTAGTAGCCCCGCAGTAGTCGTTCTCGGGTATAATGTGACTGTCTCTTCCCCATGGGGTTGAATCTAATATATCGACGACCAGAGACTCGATTCTTGTTGGGTCTGGCGGATGCTGGCTGATGCTGGCAATCTGAAGCAAGAGTAGATGCCAGCAGGCCCTATGGCAATCAAAACTCGTCCTCCGGCCAATTGGAATTAGGACTGCAGGGAACGGCACGTCGTCTCCGGCCTCGTAGTCGTAGTCGTCGTCGTCGTCGTCGTCTGCCTGATCGTCATCAACAGCCACGCCCCAAGCCCGCATAAGGGTCGGACTTCCGCCACCAACGACCCCATCCCGTCTCCGGACTATGGAGAGATCATACGTCGTTAGCAAGAAATAAGATGGCAAGCGGCGAAGTGGGCGTGTCTCATTACCTGAGTGGACGAAGTCAGTCCAGCGGACCTCTTCCAACGGTTCAGTGTATATGTTCTGAGGGCCCCCACAGAGGGAGCAAAACTGACCAGCCAAGATCGCGTCGGCCATCACGGTACAACGGGCCGTTTGCAGTCGATTCTGTCTCTTGGAAATGCGAGTGTCCTGTAGATGCATGGTGGAAAAAGCGCTCGAGGCGGGGGGCGATGGCGGCCCAACACACCAGCTGAGGGTGCGCTCGGTCCTCGCTGCGTATCTCTCGTCGACGAGTGAGCTGTCAGCTCTCAAGCCACAATCAATGCAGTAGGCCTGGATGAGATGAGGTTGCATATTTCCCCTCATCTTTTTGCACATTGGGTCACATATGCAGCTGGGTGACAGTAGAAACGAGACATCAAGTTGAAGGGTGGTTATAATCAAACCACTTTCTACAGTAACTGAAAGGATATAATAAAATGAAAGGAATACACAATGATAACATTCGGTGCATTATCTTTCAGGTATTTCTTATTAGCCCGCAATAACACGAGAACACTAGTCGCAGACTCGAAAATAACCAACATAATGTTGGAGTGTCTCAAACTCAATGTCGCCCCCTTTACATGGTGCACCCCCGTTCTAGGAGAAGCGCGTATGCATGCTAATCTCTCCTCGATTGGCCTTCACAAGTCACATGGTAGCTGCAGACTTCGCCATTAGGGATTCTGTTGCGACGGTCAAGGAGCAGCGTGGAACCCTTGACACCCAGTTAGGAGGCCTTGGCCGATTGTCGTGATGCAGTTACACGTCATCTGTTGGGATTTTTCTGGGTTCAAGGAACTGACTTTGACTCATATGCAAAAAGCCTCTTCATAGCCTAGGTTTCTGACACCCTTGGCTCCAGGTGGCTGCAAATCAGCGACGAGGCTCTCAATCTTTGCTGCTGAAGGCGAAATTGATCACTCGAGAGGAGCAATCTGAATTCGGATCGAAGCTCCATTTCCGTCGGACTTGTATGAACTTATGTGCAGTTTTTATTACGGGGATGGAATCTTCTGTGAAAAATTACAACGTGGCCTTGAGCGAAAAGCTATCGCCATACAGGAAAAAGAGAACCATCGCTTGAATTTGAGGTCATAATTTCATCAACTATCTATCGTCTGATTGAGAATTAAACTTGAATAACACGCTGACTGAAAAATATTTCTTGGTCCTGCGCCATCCGTCCGTTTCCAGCCCGTGAGGCGCCAGTTGGAGTCTAAACCCCTTTTCGCAATTGACAATCTCGCTTTCCCTTTGTCCATATCCCAAACCAAGCCAAATGAGCGAAAAGAAAGCAACAAAAAGGAAAGAGGATAGAAAACATAGAAAGAAGGAAGGTCATAAGGCATCCAATGCTTGCTTTTCTTTTTTTGAGAAAATACGCATGTTGAAAATCAATCTGGGGTAGAATAGAAGGAAAAAGACACCACCAACCAGAGATTATCTTCCTCCAAAGGAAAAATATCTCCTTAGATCATGGACCGGGCGGCCACGCCGTGGACTTGCTCGAGGTGCTTCTTCATCCAGCCAGCCGTCTGGTAGTGCTTCTTGCTCCTCGAAGGGCAGTAGTCGCATATGTAAGTATTTAGAGCCGATCTCATGGACTGAATATTAATCTTGTAGTCGTTGGCCCCCGAGCGCTTGGGTCCCTGAACCTGCTCGTGCACGCCGCCGGGGGGCGTCACGAGCCAAGGAGCCGAGCTCGCGGCCTGCGAGACGGCAGTCCACTTCAGATCATGAGCCCCTGCTCCCTGACCGAGGTCGGCCGAGGGTGGTGTAGGGCCCATGCGGGCTCCGGCCTCTGGAGTAGGGCCTTGCGGAGCGGCTCTTTGTTGGGCGCGGTGGTTGTGCGGCGTGAAAGAGTTGCGATGATGGATGGTAGGAGAGTTTCGCAGTGGTGGGAGTTCTCGTCCCTCTGCAACAGGTTGTTGGTTCCCATGCTCGGGACCGCTGGAGAATGCGTGTGGCTCCCGTGGTTGTGGCTTTGGCGATGTGAACCCAAACGTTGGACACGACGGGAACTGGTGTTGGGAGTCGGTTGGGGATAATGGAGCCCTGAAATCGTACGCCTCTCTCCTTTCCATCCTTGTTCCATTGCCAGACTGTGCAGTAGGTGGATCATGGTAGTTGGCATACTGCGGTTTCAAGCCCGTCGTTTGGGGTGTGGGCGAAGGAAGTCCTTGCTGGAAGGCGACATGCCTCTGCTTGTGCTGGTCAAGTGAGCTACTTTGTTGATGTGCGGTGGAACTCTGAATCTTCTCCAGCGCTTGTCTGGCTTCTTCCTGGAGCAATCTGGGGGAACATTGAACTTTGCCTGGTGAAGCGACGAGTGTCGTGGGTTGCCAGCCGGAACTGTGTGGCTGCGAATTCACCGAGCTTCGACTGGATTCACGGTTGTGTGAAGAAGCCATAACAGGGCGCTGGGTATACGTCGTACCTCCAGAATCACCTGCTGGAGGGTAACGGGTGGCTGTGTGTTCGCGGTCACTCTGACGGCCGTTGGCTTCTGTCGCTTGGGCCGCCAATTGGCGCAAAGATGGTTTGCAGGTATTTTGAGGTGCCAAGGTATTGTCAAGGAATGCTTTTTGATTATCCATGTTGTTGTCGATGGGAGAATGGTTGAGTATATTGGCAAAACCGTGCTTTGAGGGTGGAGAGCATACAGCCCTTGATGCATTCATCTTCTCGGGTTCTGGCGAGGCATCTCTCGATAAAATCTTAGCAAGACCAGTGGGAATAGAGCTATCTAGGGCTTGCCGAGGGCTATGATGCTGAGTGGAAGGGGCATCGAGATCCCTCGTCAGGAGCTCCGCAATAGATGGTGTCACATGTGAACCGGGTGATTTGGTTCGAGCCGCCGTGGCTTGAGGAGAAGGAGCTCGAGTTTCTTGCTCTTTTGTTGTGGAGGCTGACTTGATGTTCGAGTGACGACTGATCTTGGTCGCCTCAGGCTTGATATGCGGGACTGGAGGCGATTTCTTTGATGATGAGAAGGGCTTATCAAATTCTGCAGCGGTGGCCGACGGCAGGCGAGAACGCACCGCCGAAGTGTTGGGCTGCCCTTTGATCTCCCCTGATACCTTTGATGATACCTGATCGACATCCTCGGATTGCGTTATGACCATGTCATTGCGGGCCGAGTCGAGCCTGAGGCCGCTCACGTTCAATTCTTCTGGCCCACGGTTGTCCAATGCGCTCTCAGCAATACTGGTTACCGTGGCCAGGGGAGATGCCAAAGTCTTCTGTCCTTCCTCCGTCTTGGTGCTTGGACAGACTGCAGAGACTGGTCTATGTGTTCCCTCGGCAGGTTTCTCGTAAGTTTTGTATGGGGAGACATACTTCCTCTTCTCAACAAAGGCGAAATCCCGAAGATCAACTCCTGCAACTCTTTCATCATGAGAAAATGAAGGGGATCCAGTCTGAGGTGCGGCAAAGTAGCTCTTGCTGAAGAGCGATGATGACCGGTCGGTGTTCGTTGCCTCTTCACTTGGAGTCGAAGCAGTTTTTGAGTGACTTGGTTTGCCTGGCGAGTCTGAACATGATGCTGACTGGGATGGTTCTTCGCCAGCTGGCAAGAAATTATATACCTGCTCTTGTGGTAGGTAGTCCGATACTGGAGGAGAAAGTGCCTTATTCAAGGCACTCAAATCCTCACTGGACGTGGCGTTGGCAGTTGAGCTCCGGATCAGGCTGTCGATATCTTCAGCAGTATGGCTGGAAGGGGGTGCGACTCCCACTTTATCCTCTTGAGAGACTGCAGAAGGCGGTGGCGTGTCCATCATATCATCGTCTCCATCCGGGAGGACGAGGGGGCTTGCATCCTCCATTGGTTCATCAAAGTCTTCGTGAGAAACTGAAGTGTAAGCAGTCTCCATGATGCCATCAACATCTCGATGAGTATTAGGAGGGGTTGTACTCTCCACCACGGCATCGGCACTTTCGTGGAAAACGGAAGGGCGCATCTTCTCCGCGTCACTACCATCTCTCGGCGTGATAGCTGGGGGTGATGTGGCCTTTGTCACGTCATCGACCGTATGGGAGGCCTTCTGAGGAGAAGCAACCTGCGAGGGCTCGATATCATCCTTGATGGCGATAGCTGAAGAGGCTGCAGTTGTTATAGCGTCCTCAATATTTGTATCAGAGATGGGCGGCGGAGATGGGGCATCGGGCATAGAGAGCTCATCCATATAAAGAGTGGCATCCATGGAAGCATCAATATCTTCATCAACGACGAATGAAGGCGGCGTGGTGAATATTAGCCCATCCTCATTAGGAACCTCGTTGGTGGCGACAGCAAGGTCCACCGGCTTTTCAACATTCTTGTCGACGACAGACTCGACAGCACCTTTCGCATCAGCATCTTCACGAGAAACATCTGAAGGTTCCACCGCCACCATAGCATCATCGGGACTCTGCTGGGAGATTGAGGGGGGGTCGGGGTTCGTGATCTCCTCAGCTTCATCCTCACTTTCTGAAGAGGAAAGGATTTCGATGATCTCTATGTCCCTACGAGGTGTGGGACGAGAAATGACCTCTCCAATGCCAAAGATTTCCCTAAGGGCGACAGAAGCGCCTCTTGATGCCCCTGCGTCGAGTGATTCGTTTGGAGCTGGAGGAGTATCGGCTCGCGTCGCCTCTCCAGCTGCCTCGTCTGTGACGATCGGCTCTCCCGCATCCTCTACGCCTTCGGCAGGGCTTGAACGCCGGTGGGGGAGCATCGCCTTTTCTCGCTGACGCATGATGTCCCTCAGAACCTCGCAGTGCTCGTTCAAATTGAGTGGGACACTGTTGCTGCTCAGATCCCACTGCCTCAAGTTCATCGCTGCCACCCAGGCGACGGGGCAGCCAGCCGGGAATCTCTTGCTGGTCAGGTAGATGGCGGGGAATGCACGCTTGGCCGCCAGCTTCCCCTTCTCGTCGTATCCCTCCGCCCAGTCCAGCTTGCCAGTCTCGGGGTTGCGAACAAACGCGTTGGGCAGGTCGTCCATCAATCCGAGGGAGGTGAGTGTTCCCTGGATGCCCACATCCTCGAGGTTCTCCATGGGGAGGAGGAGAACGGGCACGTAGCTCCTTGTCTCACTGACCAGACAGAAGTATATGTCTCCTGGGACAGGGTCGAGGATGGACTCGTAGACCTTGTCGGGGGGCGGGGTGACCTCGCAGCTATACTCCCGATCACTGGACGCCCTTGCGGTGGCAGTCTGGCTCTCACGGCGTGTAGGTTCTTCCTCTGCGTTCCTCGCAACCTCGGAGGCATTTGACCGGCGGCGCTGGGAGCTGTCACTAGAAGCTCGAGATCGCTTACGGTTCTGTTCCTGCACAAAAGACGGCTTTCTCTTGACGCCATGGGGGGGCTTGGGGCCGGGAGGAGCATTGTTCGTCTTCGCTAGGCTCGCGCTGCATCCTAAGACGAGGACCCCGAGCTGCTGGATCACAGCACGGAAGTTTGGCCTCTTGCCTCCGTGATCGGCAATGCTGAGATGCGAGGCTCCGCTGGAAAGTGTATCGAAATGAAGGTCGTGGCGATCGCAGTGGAGGACGTAGAAGTGGCCGTGGTTCTCCGGGTACCGCACGATGAGTCGTCGTTCATCCGGTTCGCCATCCTGGTAGACGTCTTCAAACTCGATGTTGCGAGAGCGAGGGGCACTTCTCCGTGTCTTTGTCTTTTTCGGTTGCTGCGATTGATAGTCGTCAGCGACCTACTCCGTGTCGACGGCAGTGAAGAGCAAGGAAGGGAATAAGGATGGGAGGAATCAATTGGGGCCGACGTACCTTCTTTCTTGGGCTGACGACTTGTTCGTGTTCACTGTCGGACAAGGGCAATCTGTCATCCCCAGAGTCCTCTTCAATCGCCTGGCCAAGGGTGATCTCAGGCTGTGGTGATGGACTGGGAGGGCATTGGACAGACGGCCCCTGCTCTCGCTTGGCCCTCTCGGTGAGCAACGGACCCAAGAGGAAGAACAGCTGGTCGACGAGACGGCCGATTGCCTGGGTGTGGGCATTCTCGAAGACCTCCTGATCCTTGGCCATATTCTCCCGCATCTTGCCCAGGATGCGACCGTGCTCCATGGCGTTGGTGCGGAACATGCGCAGCTCCAGCGGCGAGGTGGGCAGGCTGGAGTCGCTTGTGCTGGACAGGGCCTCGAGCTCGAGGCACTTGGCCAGGTAGGTGGCCTTGGGGCTCTTGAGCTTCTGGTGCTCCTGTGTGAAGCTGCGGATGCACTCCTCGAGCGCCTCGCTCAGCTGCTGGGACTCATTCTGGCAGTCGGGGGTATCAAGGATGGGGGGAGTATCACTCATGGCCGAGGCGGATGGGTGCTGCTGCGCTGACAAGCACACGCCAGGGCCCTGGACGGGGGAGAGACAGAAGATGGGGGAGACAGATTGTCTTGTGTAGTTTGGGGTTCACTGGAATGCGACGGGATCGATCGATGTCAATGGACAAACCGTCTGAGTAGGCGAGAAATGAGACAAGGCGAAAGAGAGAGAAAAAGAAATGGTGGATGGACGGATAATTGAAGCACGAAGCGGCAGGACGAGGATGGTAATGAGGATCAGGTGGAACACTCTGCCAGCCAACAACATATGTCAGGCCCTCAAGCTAATCCGGCTAGACACAGCATAGATGGCGAGCAGTAGGTAGAAAAGAAGCAGAAAGGATCTTTCGTTAACTTCGCGGGGAGAATGTGGGAGCCAGGGGAGGGGGACGGAACAAGAAATGGATGGGATGGGATAGATGATGCGAGGAAATGCTAACATAAACAGGCTACGGATCATGTTAGTCCTCTTCACAGTACCAACGTACAGTACCGACGCAGAAGGCAGCAAAAAGCCACTGAAAAAAAAAAGTGCATTGGGGGCGATGAGACATGCATAAACCTGGTGTGGCCCAACAGCTACCCATGGCAGTCCTTGTGACAAATCGACAGTCACATCAGGTCTTCCACTATGTACTGCACAGTACTGTCTCGCCTGCTCCATGGCCTGGAATTAGCAAAATGTTCCTTGAAATGGACACGCACAGCCTCCAAGTATCGGCTTACCAACTGCTCTGGGTCGCGCCCAACAGCAGGTCCACACGCTATATATGGCTACACAACCAACAGAAGCATGCACGAGAGTCCATGAACTTGGTTATCTGCAGTTGGCTGCCATTCTTACATGTCCTATGTATGTGGCAGAGTGCCGGAAGACGGCAAAAACGGTTACAGTGCGTCCGTCGTAAATGCAAGTGTGTGTGTGTTTGTGCGCGCGTAACACAGTCATAAATGTGCGACTACCCGATTGACTGAGTGTATCAGTGGCTGGGGCGAAACAGGCGAGAGCTGCACGAGTGATGATCAACCCATCAAAAGACTTGACACTGCAGCAGGGGTGTTGCCTTGCCCTGCTTTGCCTTGTGTCCCTCCCTGGTGGGAGAGGCCCAGCCAGACCATGCCCGTTGGTGCGTCGCAGGACGAGCCCTACTTGAGCTTGCTCGATGGAGGAGAGGGTAGATATGAGGGACGATGGGCAAATAATGCCTGTGAAAGGAGCCATGTCCCGAGCCAGGCTCGCCACATTGTACCACTCTGAGTCCGCTGCTGGACGACTGGACTGGGTCCTGTATCATGAGCCGGGGTGATGTACTCGCTCGCCAAGACCGCACGAGCCGCCGCCTTAGCCAAAGAGTCCCGCGTACGTACAGTGCCAGATCCATTGAATAGAGTGTGACGCTTGCTGGTTTGGGTAGCATGTGTCGCTGCCATGATTCCCGTCCACAGTACGCGCTTCACCCGCCCATTGGCCCCTTGGTCCCCGTAAGATCTTTAACGAATCCCACAGGGAATATGTTGGTCAGATGGATCAGTACCAAAGTCCCCCGTGTTGGGTGTCGTTTGAATCCTTGCCCCATCTCGTGTGGCTCGGTATATTCTATAAAGGCCCATTGCTCACTCCTCTCTCTCTCTCCATCCATCTGTCCCAGCCCAGTCTGCTTATTACCCGGTATCATACTGTGGAAGCAGGCTGGCTGCAGGCAGCGGCCGATGTACGTAGCAGTAGCGCAACACGGAGAGGGGGGTGGCTGGCTGGCTGGCGGCAGAAAAAGCAATGCGGGATGCTATTGTTTTATCCGTCGACTGCCACTTCCCCACCCACACAGCCTATGAGGCTTTCCTGTCGGTATGAACTATCTTGTGATTGGCATCCTGGGCAATATGCACTGTTTCTTATTCATGTATATACCCTTGCTGGCTGGCTGATTTTGCCCTATGGTTATCCCCCACCCACCAAAACAAGTGCCGGAACCCACTCTGGTCCTCTTCTCCTCACCCTCTCTCGCTCTGCTGTTTGGAGGCAGTGTCCTGTGCATCTGCCGGGCGTGGCAAATATAGAATTCAGGCCTGCATCCCATCCGTCCAATACGATCCAGCCAGGCATCGGGTAGTGCCCCCGATGACCATTGGCCGCTCCTCAACGCCAACTACCGTGATCTGTCATATTATCACCCTGTCGTCCTCCACCTTGGAAAACTCTAGTCCTCTTGACCGCTGGAACATGCCGTGCTCCCAGGTGGCCCGTGCAACCATTCTCATTGGTGCCGGCGATCACGTAGATACCAAAGGTGCAGATTCTGACCTCCTCTCCCTCCCTCACGCTTGTGCCACCTCCCAAAGTCCGGTTTCAGCTCTACGCCAAAAAATGAGCGGATGACGAATTGAAGACGAGGAAAATCAACGCAAGCCTCTCGGTGCCTGCGAGCATGTCCCAATTTTTTTCATTTTTTTTTTCCGTGAGAGGCTTGAGCACTAGACTCCCTGTACCGCACGCAAAGCAAAACAACCCCTTTTGGTCGGCGTGCATCTGTGTGTCAACAAGACCACGTTCTGTAAAATTTCAGAGTTTTTTTTCTCCTCTTGTCTCTTCTCTCCTAGCCTGATGTCTCACATCTCAGAATATTCTGGACGTGCTCGGTCGCACCCACTGCGTCACATTGCACTGCCGGAACTCTTGGACTGTCTCTCTCGTCCAGCCCCCTCCCAGCTCAGCTCGATATCCGTCGGCGGCCTCATGGCCATGCCCCGACGACCGAATGGCCACACACCTGTGCTCGTCGCCTTTCCAGAGCCATTCTTGGCAGCCCTCCTGGGATAGGCAGAGCGACCTGCATGCCTCCAGCGAGCCCGCCTCCACACTCGTCGGCACCTCCCACTCGCCGTCCCCTCGGCTCTGCTTGGCCCCAGAGTCTTGGTTGCGAAGCTCCCACAGGTCCGCGTAGAGCATGGGCTGCTCCAGCCTCCGGTGCCCAAACTCCCATCTCCATAGCCGCCGCATGTCCTCCGGCGAGGTCCTGTGCAGCGTCAACGCCGGCTGGCACCAGTACTGGTCGCCAAAGGGTATGTCGCCCAGCGCGTGCGGATTGAACATGGGCCACAGCCCCATGACCTCTATCCCGGCCTCCAGCAGCGCGAAGCCGAGTATGCTGTCTCCGCAGCTGTCCTCCCGTGTGAGCGTCGCCCACTTCTCCGTCAGGGAGAGGCCGTCGAGGTACGTCGGGTGGAGGAGCGCCTTGATGGCGCCGCGGCTGAGGACGAAGCCCGGGCCGCCGTTTGCGAACCACGACAGCTCGAGTTTGCCCCATCGGTTCTCGCGCTCGCGGCCTGGGGATGGGGAGCCCATGTATATGCGGTCGTCCGCGTTGAAGTTTTTGAGGAAGCGGAACATGTTGTCCCAGAAAACGTAGCTATTTTTTGCAGTGATGTCAGTCTCATTGATGTCAATTAATGCCAAGCTGAAAAGATTTTCTTTCAATATTGTTGCAGCCATCTCTCTCCACTTACGTGTCTGATTCGTAGAAGACGTAAAATTCCTTGTTAGGCTTCAAGTTCCACGCCTTCTCAATCATCGGCAAGAATTTGTACTTGTCCAGCTTCCATCCATCGATTTTCTGCTGGTTGTCATGCTTATCTAGGGTACCGTTGTTGTACATCTCCTTCTGAAGATCATACATGTCCAACTCGACGTTGTCTTTGCGCACCAGGTCAGGCAGATCTTCTAATACATCCATGACGTGGTATCCTCGAATCTCTTCAGCAAGATCGGAGAAGACGGGGAGCTCGTTATCGTTGAAACAAGCACTTACGCTGAAGAGCTGCGCTTCAACTCGGGTCCGGTCTTCTCCATGTCCGATCTTTAGGACAGGTTGGATTGTATCGAGGATGTGTCTCGGGAAAGTCTGGCATAGTTCTTTCACGGACTTGCTATTTGGATTCTCGACGCGAAAGGGTTCGAATAGACTGTGGTCTCTGATGGTGTAGTATTCTGGTTTGCCGAAAATAGGGAGGGGGAGTTTTGAGAATTCCTTGACCAAGTCGCCATGCCACGAACCCCAAACAAGTAATATCAGGGTGAAGAGAACTAGGAAAAAGAGTCTAAACAGCCGTCTTTTCCGAATGATGGGTACAATGACCCAAACTCTAATCGTCTTTGGTATCGGCTGGGCCATGGGCATGCCGGGTGCGCCGAACATTGCCGGCTGTTTCTCTTCTCTTGCAGATGGAGCATTCATGAGGATATTCTTCCGCGGGTAATTCAAGAGATCAACAAATTGACAAAGAATTTGGAATATAATACATATCGATGAGATCAAGCGCAGGGGCAGGCCCCGGAAAAAATGGATCGGATTACGAGGCCAGCATCGTCACTCTTTGCTTATCAGTTTGAGAAGAGCCACTTACCGCGTAGATTAGTGGCCTTCACAGGAATATCATACAGAGCCCTGCCATCCAAAGATCTTAGGTTCCCTGCCAAATGCTACCAAGCCAATGCCACCAAGCCAATGCCAAGATATATCAGACGGGAAGGGCTTCAGCATAGCCCGATCACTCTACCACCGCCATGCTTCGAGGGTTACGTTGAAATACACGACGGAGACGGGAAGAACTTCTGTACTATTGCCAATCTCCAGCCCCAAATGTATGACCTACTCGTATATGTGTTTGTGATCCATTGCTCTTGTTGTGGTCTCATTTTAAAGGTCGCGGTTAAGCAATGATGTTGATAGGCTGAGACTTTGAGGCCCCTGACACAGATCATGGACATCTAACACCGCACCACGTCGCCGTATGGGCAGACTACTGTCGCAGCTGGCCCTATGAAGCCATATTGCCCAGGGATATATGGAGTGTACGCGTGGTGGTAGTGGGGAGGCCGCCCATCCCAGATTCATTCCAAGATGCCGGGTTGTGGACCGTCCTAAGTCAGGACCATGGGCTCTTGGCATCGTCATGATCGGAGGAAGAGATAACGTTTATATAAGTGGGAAAATCCCAGAGGTCTTCTACTCACCCCTCAACCTTCATTCTCTAGTCGCTCGATACAAACACCTGGATGCTGCCGCATTTGCGCCTAACATACCATATTATCCCAATCCATAATCGCATGAGCCATATCTGGTGATTCTGTTGTGTCCTTTGTGCAATTAGGACGAGTCCCGCAAATAAATTCTCGCTAAGCCTGGACGCATACGTAGGGCATACGTACGCGACTAGGACCAACGCCGTCTCGTTTCATCTTGCCAGTGGATTGATTTTCACATCTGCGATCGCCCAGTCTCTAAATATATGTAATGAATCATACCATATGGCCATATGGTCTTTGTTCTTGGCTATCTGGGAAAGTGTCAACCGATAAGAACCTGAACTGAAGTAGTATACGAAACAACGAGACGGCCACCCGGCCTTAGCTGAAGGCAGCTATTTAGAACTGTATTAAGTCGCCGCGCAGAGCTAGAGCCAATTAGGTTCATCCCCTGGCCCATTCGCAAAGCTTAGCTTTTTCGCCCTGGCGCGATCGTGCCGTCGTAGGGGCCGACCCCTGAACTATGACGCCCCTGTGTTCTAGCCCGCGTCCTCCCGCGTATGGAATCAATCTTGGCAGGATGTTCGCCTTGGCACTCCTTCTCCAGAAGAAAGTCCGAAACGATCAACAACTTCTCGGATGATAGCCCTTTTAACCATGTTCCTACTGGCACGTAAGCCTGCCGTCTTACATGTCTGCCCATCTTGGGACATATTCCTGGCTCTGACGTTCCTTTTATGCGCCCCCACTGTCCCGAGCAGGCATCATGATCCCTCTGGTACCAAGCCAAGCTCCCATCTTTCCTGATCAAGTCAAATATGCCTCATCCATCGATCACACCAACATTAACCAAAGTCCCTAATGATCCGACCCTCCTTCTACCAACAGCCACGGAGCTTTGGCCATCATTTGCACGATGTGGTATCGGTTCTTTCGAGCTCCATTTCGGGGTTGTAGTGACATACTTGAGGCGCAGTGAGTGCAGTGCAGAAATTGAATATGCAGTTGGTCACAGGGCCATTATTACCGCAATCAAATATGGCCTACAAATGTATAAAAATAGACCTGTTGGGCCATCAAGTGTACTCTGCAGCCAACAAACGATTTATTCATTTAGCCTAATGCTATTGCGAATACGGGAGTAGACTCAAGAATATCCCGGTTTGCCCCGTGATTGACGATTTACTTTGTTCTCTGACTACACCAACACGATGGTAGATGATGAATAAGAGGGAGAAAGGATCAAATTAATTAAGAGGAGAAATAGAGAATACATACTCTGTGGCCCTAAAGTCCCGCTTGTGGTCTTAGTGGAAGAAGCGGTTGAGTGAAGTTTAGAAGCGCAGGACCCGGGAGACGTTTAGTCTTCATTTCCAAGAAAAAGTATCCAAAGAAATATTTATAGACGGGTGATATTGATGGGCTCGTGGATTCAGGTTGAGTTAGCCTGTCTCCCATATCGTCGTGACTTGCTATGTTGGATGCACCTACCCAAGAGTTGCTCGGCGTACTGCAGACCCTGTGCTTTATGCTGAGCCTTCTAGTATTTCCTAGTTGGAGGTGTAATGCCAACGAGTAGAAAATAAGCCACCGCATTGCTCCATTGTAAAAGCCGCTGAGATCACGTTCGTAAAACGCTAATCTATTTTAGATGGAGACAAAAATTGCATCTCTTCAGCCTTCATCCAACTATTGACCTGAATGCATTCAAGCCGACAACCGGGACTTAAGAATATTATATAAAGAGCGAGTAGGATCAGAGCGATAGTCAACAGGCGTATACTCTCCCAGTCTGGATAAATGTCAAGACATAGATAGGCTGGAGTGGAACGGGTATAAATTAGAATATGGACTGAGCTCCTCACAGAATATTACTTATAATCTTAGTTTGCGAGGTTATTCAAACTATGGGGGATAGGTGTTGAAATATTCTCTGTCTAATGCGATTTATGGAAATGTAATTATATACTAGAGTCCGCCTACTGTTAATTTATTGGATATTGTAGATTGGTTGTGAAGATAAGAGAATTCAATATATATCTCAAGAAAGCGACTTACTTAATGATCGGAGTTGATAACGCATTACATTGTGAACAAGTCTTATAAGGAACTTCGAAAGTTAATCATCAACGTGAATCCAAAGGCTAAGCATTGGGCTATCTGTGAGTACAAACGTTTCTACTACACGGCTTTCTGTCATTGCTCTATTCTGACAAGTGTAGAAGGAGTGCTAATAATTATACAATGAGGGCCAATTATTGCGTGACGAGTGCTGATTACTGCTTACGGTGTCGGCGAATTACCTCTCATACAATTACGGGATGTTGTGTAGGCCTTTGATGCTGGGAATTACAGGACATCATCTTTAGAGTGCCTTATTCAACACCAGTTACTGTCTCTGGGCCTCTGTATCAGGACGTGCATGTTCGTACTCATTAAGGGCTCTGCATTAAGTATGCATTATGGTTGACTAAATTTCATTTCATGAAATCAAACCTGATGGCCATTGCCAATTATCGCGCTAAACGATGCTCAAACGGTCACCTTAGTTTGGCATGTGAGATAGTAGAGCTCACAAGCTGGATACTTCGAATCACGGTCTAGTTCACGCGGCTTGCTACCCTTATTCGGACCGCTAGAACCTAGTCTTGTGTCCTGAGGACGTTTTCGTGTGAACTTGAACTCTGAAGAACATGGGTCAATATTGAACGACAAAAATTGAAAGAAAAAATTGATCCTTGAAGACATAGGACAGCCAGATAATACTGCTAAGCTGATTGAAGAGAACGTCGTAGATTAGGAGCTACCCAACTAAGTCATCATTTTTTTATAGACCACATTCATTCCGAATGAAGTAATAAGAACATTTGTTGCCAGTGTCCCAGCGACATCCTCGGCGCTATATCCATGTAGATCAGGATGGTCCAAGTGCTTGGCATATTGATTCCAAAGAGCCAAATCTGGAGGCAGCAGTACGGCAAGTGGAACTCCAAGAAAAAGGTTGAGCAGAGCCCACAATTGAGAAACACAGCGTAGGTCAAGGTAATGATTGGTTACTAACACCGCTACAGCAAATGAGATGTGAAAATAAGCTAGAGAATTTGGTTAGATGGTGTCCTGAATAACAATTATGTCAAACGCTTCTTGAGCCTGATGCCTGCCTTCGGGCAGAAGCTGAGATACATGATAGAGCTGTTACTAAAGAGTCCTTCACAAGACTCCTTGCAGGTTTAGCAACACCCTGCTACGATCAAGGACTCAAGCGAGTGGGATGGCAAACTGTCAGGTGGACACAGGTGCATACAGAGTCGCACAGGACCGACCCTAGTGTTCTGGAATGGGTGGGTAGCATTCGTCATGGCTAGAGTTTTCTTCCTATGAGGCTTGCCGGCTAAGGTCGTGCCCAGCCATCTCGCGGTATTAATTACGGCTGGACCACTCTGTGTAAGACAGAGCCTCAAGCCCCTGCTTTTACTGGTCAGAATTGCTCACCGGCATGTTATTGAATGCCCGTGAGACATTTTCACCGCCAGAAAGTGCAATTGTATAACTTATCAGGTCTGTGTTCGGTCCTTTTGACCGGAGGGTGTCATACATAAGACTCTTTCCTGACTCTTCATTGGCTTCTTATCAATTTCCCCGCTCATCGCATTGATCCGCACAACCCATTGGGCAATGGATTGGTCAGCTGGGTCGTTCTGGATTTGAGGCTCTGATAATCTTTGGGCGCCTGATCAGTTCATAGTGGATGCCTTACCCGTCCCGTTATCCTCCCGGAAACATCACCTTGAATGAGAACCAGTGCGGGAATCCAATATGATTTAGCGCTGCTTACAAGGGAGATCTAACGAACCCGGAATTTGGTATTGCCGCCTCGACCATTAGTCGACAGACCTGATTGGCTTCGTATTGGCCAGATGCTTGAGCCATCTACCGCTCAAAACTCACTCCACTTACCTATAGGTGGATATTCTTGGTTGGGGTCTATCACTGATTATAGAAAGATTAGCAGAGTTTGTCTAGTGGTTCGGCTCGGCTTCTGATACAAGTATGAATCCTCTGCCAGTTCTCCATGATGGGGTGAGAACAGCTGATCTAGAGTAAGGGTCTCCTTTAACTTTCTGAGTAATACTAAGAAATCTGACAACGGCAGCAGCATTGTCTCGATCCCTGGCCTCCCAACACTTCATCCAAAGTACAAGTCGAAGGATCACAATCAATGGCTTCGAGAGGTGCTCAGTCATCGTGTGCCCCAGGCCCGGATTATGGCCTTCCAATACGATTTTGGCCAGGAATCGAAGGAAGTTGCATGGATGCAACTCATGCAGCATGCAGAAGGGCTTCTTTATAGTCTGATCCACCGAAGAGAAGGGGTCGAATCGCGCCCCATCATATTTGTTTGCTTCAGTTTTGGGGCTTTTATTCTCAAAAGAGCAAGTTTCCTGCAATCAGACATTGTTTCGTTTCTCATCTGACCATTCCTGGAAGGCACTGCTACTTGCAAAAGATACCCGTGCGTTTCGAAGTATACTCGACATGACGGGAGGTATCGTTTTTCTTGGCTGCTTGAACAACGAAACAAGGCCCAATTTTGAAGATCTTTGCCTCAAATGCGCCGCAGTCGAGATGGGTGCACACAAGAAGGATCGAGTTATTGAGAGTCTCCGCCAGGACCATCGCTGGACTTTTGTCAAAGAGGTCATGGAAGACTTTAGAGCCTTGAATGGCCCGTTTCCTGTTCGCATATTGTTTGAACTCAATCCAAGCAATATCGGCAGTCGACAATTTGTTGTGAGAACGAAGCAGGAATGTGTGAGTCGATGAGAAGCCTCTGAGGAGAACACGATAACCCCCACTGACCTCAAAGCAAGCTATGTTCCGAGCAAGTGTCCCGCTTGGGTTGGGCTAGTGAACAGTTGGTTCCTGTTCAAAAGAACCACACCGAACTTACCATGTATCCTCAAAGAAGCGACGACGACGCCTATTTTCAATTGTTTATGAAGACACTCTCCGAAATGATCGAGGAAGTTATGCCTAAGTCCGCTCTGCTCTCTAAGGAGTTGATTAATAGCAATCGCTCAAAAAGCGTACTCAGCCTAGACTTTTCCTCTGACGGTAACTTGACCAACTGCTAGAAGTAGCCTGGCTATACTGACTCTGCAGTAGATGATGTCGTATCCCTCTTGACGGCCCCCAGGCCAGACTTAAACGTGCCCAGCGGGGTGAATATTCCCTGTTTTGTCACCTGGCCATACGACGAAAACCCGAATTTCATTGGAAGGGAAGATGAATTGGAACAGATTCATACGCGGCTCTGTCCAATTGATGACCAGGGCCCTCAACAAAGGGTATTTGCACTGACTGGGCTGGGCGGCATGGGAAAGACGCAAATTTCGGTCAAATATGCATTCAAATACCGAAAAGTCTACCAAATCGTGCTATTGGCGCACGCAGACGGCCAATCTAAACTTGCGGAGAGCTTCTCCCTATTCGCTGATAAACTTGGATTAGGTGCAGGGATGCCTCCTATCAAAGCGAAACAGGCCGTGAAAGATTTGCTGGGATCAGTTGGCAAGTATCTCCTGTAGGAATGACTGATTACCAGTTTGATGAACTGACATCCGGACATATAGATGTACCCTGGCTGCTCATTTTCGACAATGCCGACACGGATGACAAAATCCAGCTTCTGGATGAATTTTGGCCCTGCACTTCACAGGGATCCATATTGATCACGAGCCGAGACCACACTCTAGTGAGAAGGTTCACGGGTATGGAACTGGTCGAGATGACCGAGCCCAACGCTGTGGATTTGCTCCTTCGCCTCGTTCAGTTCGATAAGGATGTGCTCGATGATGCCGATGCCGTCGAAGAAGAGATTGCCGCCGAGAAGATAGTGAAGCGGTTAGGATTCCTACCCCTTGGAATAAGTCAGGCTGCAACATTGATCATCAATGACTCGTGCTCTCTGGTGGCCTTTCTGGAGGACTACACACTGCGAGAGCTAGTTGAAGACTCTGGCGCTATGCAATTGGAGAGCCCCAGAAGCAGCTACAAGTACACTCTGAGGACAGTGTGGAACATGAACTTCGAAAGTCTGACAAAGGATGAGCAGAGTTTGATGAAGCTCATGTCATTCCTGGACCCAGACCGGATTCAGCTGCGGGTTTTCAAAGAAAGCCTCTTGAAGCTGCAAGCATCCGACTTTGATTTTATCAGCTCACCACACAAGCTCAGCAAGTGCAGAGCTGGCCTCTTACGCAGCACACTTGTTTCTCAGAGCCGTAATGGTCGAGAATTACGAATGCACCGACTGGTACAAGCATATTGTCAGCTGAGAATGGACATTGAAGAGTCCCGCAAGAACTTTCGGAGTGCCATCAATCTTATCAAAGCTGTCTGGCCAGTGCCCGACAGGGAGATGGTCCACAACCCTGCATTTTGGGAGAGGCAACGTGAATTACTGCCCCATGTGCAAAAGCTATGCGAGTTTTTCGTCAAGTCGTGCGAGAACGGCCAGCCACTGATTCCACATACAGAGGTCAACTGGGACTTCGCTTCCGTATTATATGAAGCCGGGTGGTAAATATTTAGTAATCCTGCATATCATTCGATGTAGTTTACTAACGTCAGACAGGTTTTGTTACGAAAGCGGGTTGCTGGAGTCGGTGTCAGAACTCCTCGTTCCTGCAAAAGAGTACTGCATCAGACACCTTTCCAAAGGCGGAGGGTATCGCATTTTGGCCGACATCTACGGTGGTCTGGGATCTCTTGCAACGGAGTCGAATCAGTTTCAGCGAGCATATGATGACTTCAATGAGGAATGGAAGTGTTTGAAACTTGCTTTCGACGCTGCTGAATTAACCCGGCCCAGCATTTGGGAGGTTTTTGGCCTAGGCCGAGTAGGCAATGGATTGCAGGGTCTTCATCGGTACACCGAAGCCGAGGAGTACTATAGAATGGCCTTAAAAGCATGGGAAGGACTTCCTGGGGATCGTAAGGTGTGGGTGAGCAACATGTGTACATGTTTGTGGTTGCAAGGCAAGCTGGACGAAGGGGAGACGACGATAAAGGCAGTAATCAAGGACGAAAATGACGCCACCAACTTCCGGTTTGTCTCTGGAATTCCTTCTCTTCTAATTCGTGTCATCATTTGGCTAATCGATTGCCCGCCTTACCTTCAGTACCGGGTTGGCTATGAATTGCTTGGGCAATATACAGATTTCCCAGGCCGAGCGCCTGAAGCAAGAGGGTATGACTGAAGAAGGGGAGGCAAGGTTGGCCGAGGCGATGGCGACACATACAAAGGTTCTACGACTCTTCACAACTGCACTCGGGAAGAGGCACCACAAGACTGCCGATGTCATGTACAAGGTTGGCTGGCATCTACATCGACGACAAGAATACCAAAAAGCTCTGTAGGTATCTATTCTATGGTGACCATGAAAGCGACTAACAAGTAGTAATTGCAGGGATATGCTCAACAATGCTTTGGGAGTTTACGCGAGCCAACCTGAAATCTTCAAGAATGAAATAGCCCGGACCAAGTACAAGCTGGGCTGCTTGCAGCAGGACATGGGAGCACACATCGAAGGGGGCGCACTTATTAGAGAGGCAGAGCGTATTCGGAAGGAGATAGTTGCACCAGAAGACTGGGAGCCCGCCCAAGGAGAAAAAGCCTTCGATGATATTGTTCAATTCTGGACACGCTGATGGATTTCCTTCTAAGACAGCTTCCTATACGTTCAAGAATGAGTATTATATACATTTTCTGCTTGCGTGAATGGCCACCGATAGAAAGTTTAGTAATACGTAGTTTCCCCAATGAGTTGCATGAAATTTTTGAAATACACGAATTACTTTTAACTTGACTGCAAATGCGAAGTGCATAAGTAGGCATTGTGCTGCCTCACCATTGCTGGCCTCTCCTCAGGCCCCGCCAAAGTGGAATGACATGATCATGCCAGAAACCGACCAGAAGAGTCTTCCAAGCCTTGTAGGTTAGGAATGTGGTAGTGACCAATACAAGGACGAGTGCTACAGTAAACGGGTACCACCACCTGGGCGCCGGCTCGAACTCTTTGATATTCATTCCAAAGATTCCGGTAGCAAACGTCACGGGAATGAATATGGCGGCCATAGCAGTAAGACGCTGCACTTCCTTTGCCTGCGATATGCTCCGTTCTGAGGCCATGAGCTGGGCAAACCCAAGTAGCGCTGTAGTCGTAGACTCACATCCATCGAGCAAGTGATCACAGCGACTGAGTAGACATTCATGATCAGCTACAAGCTGACTTTGCAACTGTTGTTTCCGTAGTCGAGTCTGCTCTGTCGATGCCTTTGGCCACTTGGAATGACCGCCATTTCTTATGATGTCCTGGTTCTCCAACAACACCTCCTTGATATGATTGACCATGGCAATGCAGGATCTGAGCTGCGATAAGTAGTAGTGAAGTTGGCTCTGAGGGAGTGTGAGCTTGTCATGACATCTAGCTACAGTGTTGGCGAGCACTTTCAAGAGCTGTGTCCATGACAGGAATGACGTTCTCAGTATCGAGGACAGAAGGAAGAATGGGTCTTGACTGGCGAGTTGAAAGTCAGTCTCGTCGAAAAGAGCTACCTTCTTGAGTGGATGGAACGGATCAAAGTAACTGAAGCTGTCTGTGCTTTGTTCATTTATAGACGTTTTCCTACTAGAGTTCGGGGGCATATCATAAGGCACAATTGGCAGCGTTGTTGCTGGCCGTCCGTTCTCATCGTACGTGCTCGACGGAATACCATGCTGGTATGTCGATGGTCGACCATGGTCGGTTAAGATAATTGCTGCCACAGCCGGAATAGTCAGATCAAGTCTTGTTGGGTTAACGTGGGCTGATGGGGTGATGGTACCGTTCCATTTTTGGTCTGGATTACTGCCTTGGACAATTGTAAATGCCATGGACTCTTCTAGACTGTAGGTCCGATCGTCATGGATATTCACCTTGCGAAACCGGCTAGCACCATATCTTCCCTCATCTCTCAAAATCTTCTCGGATCTTAGGAGTGCTCTCTCAACATCAGAGTTGGATTGGCTAATCGGATTTGGCGACCGGACGACGATGCAGAAAGAAATCCGAACTAAATTCTCTTGACTTGACGGTAAGCTGAGCGCTTCTAAAGGCATACGAGTTGAACCTGGAATGGCACACGACAAATGGCCAATAAAGAATTCGGGACGTATGCAAAAGCTGGCCCCAAGGTGAGCAATGCATTCTGGGGAAGGATATCCTTGCAATATAGCCACTCGTGGTTGGTATTGCTCATGGCTAGACTTGACTGCGCGTGAGGAGAGCAAAGCTGGATAATCTGATGGATCAGCCGGGGGTTCCAACTCCAATAGCTGAATGCTTTGGAGGGATGATCCCCGTCGTAGGTTGAGGTGGTCTATGAGCTGCTCATAGTATGGCGCCGCTTCTGGAAAGGATCGGTAGCATGAGCGGATATACTCCAAGTAACTGGAATGATTAAGTTCATTCAAGCTTGCTGGTGAAAAGCTACTGCTGTCCATAATTTCATTTCGGACGAGCTAGTTCTCCGGAACACGCTTGGGGTGGGAAATCACATGGATGTTGAACGGACAAACTTTAAGCTGCTATAGCTAAAATCAATATTCTCTTCTCTACCCATCACTAGACCATATATGATATATGGCAATGGCAGATCCATTTGGCCCAAGCATTTGGCCCTTGGGTCAAATGTGATGTGATACGGCCATAACTCCAAAATGTTGCAGCCCAAGCTGTAAGGCAATAAAGTAAAGCAATGCGAATGAGATCAGCTCGCTAAGAGTAGCTACTTGTGATGCCATCCAATAATCCAACAAGGCCTCTGAATCAACCAAAGCCTCACTTAGCAAGTTTTTAGAAATGAGAAAGAAAAAAACGCGCAAACGCCTTGATATGCGAGGCACTTGGTGCCCAACATGAAAATACCCCGCCTTGACATGCGCTGGCAAGGCGTCCATCTTCGGGAGCTGTGATGGGCGCCTTCAACGGGATATTTCGGGACTACCGAATGATGATAGACTTGGCGTGTGATGAGTAGAAATTTGGGATGAAACTGAACTTGAGCTGCGAACCCAAGGCGCCTTTTTCGGTAAGCCATGTTAGAGACCGCTACAGTCTCATTTTATGGTGCCTTGAGCATGAACTGTCTCATGTGAGACGGCCGAATATGCCTAGAAAGACTTATTCGACGCCTTGGCTGAAATAAAATGAGCCGTATGCAAGAAAAAGGGGGGTATGGTTATAGAGATCATGAAGGCAACTCGTCGGGTCTCCTTAGGCATACCGCCCTCCCCAACTTGATGGTTATAAAAGGCTACTTAAACCCTTAGCTTGAAAAGAATACAAACCACAATCTCTCTACCTGAAAATCACTTGACAAGGTTATCACTTCTCTCAACTGAAAACTCCACTACTTGTAAGTTCTCACATAATCTCTAGTAGCTTATACACCCGAAGCCGCTAAACCAGACGCCTCAAGGCCTCATCTGAACCTGCAAGATGGAGAACCGGGTGCAGCCTTGGAAAAAATGGTACACCCCTATGAGCTCGCTCGCCAATGACGCTGCTCTGAGCATTCTTCCTGTTTTCCTTGCTGGGAATAGATCTAGTGGGGGAGAGGGTGGAAACGGTGAAGGAGAAGGTGGAAACGGTGAAGGGGAGGGTGGAAAAGGAGGCGGTGGAACGAGTGGAAGTGGAAGCGGCGGAACACAGAGTGGTGGAGGACAGAGTGGTGGTGGAAGCGATGGAGGGAGCAAGGACAACAGTAGCGGTCATAAAAACGGGGGGGACAGTGGTGGCAGCAGCCATTGAGACGTAGAGGAACTGGAACCAAGCCTTGAGAAGGCTTCTATTACATGGCAATATTACTGATATGTCTCATCTTGTAAGATTACTACTGAGTGGTCATGTGGTGAGACTACGTGTCAATCTTAGGTGGATGAGAAAATGCATGTTCAAAACGCCTTGGCATTTTGGCAAAGGCTCTTAGTCTCTTGCACATATAGACCATGGAGGTGTAGGTCCCTTGCCCAGAGAAAAGATGTGCCTTGCTACTGAAGGTTAAATAAATAAGGGATATATATGACCATGCGTTCGCACTACTTGGTTTAGTTGGTGTGCTATTAGAGAAGCCGACTTCGCCTCACCTCTCGCGACAACTGTCAGCTTGCACTTGGTGTTCTCACCTAATCAATCAAGTATGGAAAGTCAAACAATCACATCAACGATGCCATTTCTCGCAAGAAACGACTTGTACAAGATTGAGAAGCCATATGGCGCCGATTTCCCAGTTGATGGAATCAAAGGCGCCTCAATAACGAACCACATATTTGACATTGTGCCCATCAATTTCCATGACGCTCGTCAGCTGAGCGTTCCTTTAACTTTGGAAACCAATGGGTGTTGCTTTATCAAGGCTAAAACATCACTGGGGGCTGAAGATGCTACGAACGAAATGAGTGAGGCAATGAGCCGCTTCACCGAAGAGGTTATAGACATTGTCAAGCAGAACTTCCCTCAGTACGTCGAAGTCAAGTTCGCAGACTTTCAAGTAGGTACCTCCTAAATGAATAACTGGCCACTTATTATCTATTGTAATATTCGAAATGTTTCTGACTCATTATTCGGTACAAGGTCCGCAAGCGAGCTGCCGCCTTTCCTGATGGACATGGCCAGAGAGTAGAGTTTGCTCAACCCGCCGCTGTTCCTCATACAGACTTTTCTGTTGTAGGCGCTCTGCGTCGAATGGCAGAGATATTACCTGGAGAAGAAGACCAGTACACTCATAGAGAATTTGATCTCATCAAGTAAGCCGCTATCACGGCTCCCCCCTTCTTGACGTTTGGCGAGATGGTGTTTCATGGAGCTAATCAGGAACCCTTTAAAGTGTTTGGAAGGTTCTCAAAGGACCGAATAATGATTGGCCGCTTGCCGTTTGCGATTATAAGACGGTGAATATCGCAACAGATAGTACGGCAAACGATGCACTTCATTTGGAAGGAGTTGGGGAGAACTGGCTGTTGCATCATAACGATAATCAGCGCTGGTACTACTTCAGTAGCATGGATGTCAATGACATAATTGTCTTCCGTAATACCGACTCCAAGGGGAAATTGTCCCGTATGTACACTCCCCTCCATCTCCTCATTAGTTGTTCGGTACTGATTATGGTCACTCCTTCGGTCATAGGGTGTTTCCATGCCGCATTTTGTAACCCTGCGGCTCGGGGCTTACCCCGCGAGAGTGTTGAGGTCAGGCTCGTGGCATATCGGTCATGACGTAGCTTATTCTGACTCCTAATGTCATGGTATGGCGGGGTGCGGCTCTGCTTGGATGTTTTTGCACAGTACCTATGCTTATGTCTTGAAAATTGCCCTTTAATGATCCAATTATGAAAACCATGTGATGAACGGTGAGCCTATGCGTGAGATGGTCGGTAAGAGGCAAGGTAACTCATGATGAGGCTTTGCATTAGCACATGTCCCCTGATAGTTCGCGAACCACGGAGCCCCCGATAACAACGCATACAAATGCTACCCAAGTTCTCTTAGGGCCGATGTCTCGGGGCATTTCAAGGAGCGCCCGTTAGATTTTCTTGACCGTCTTTTGAAGGTGGTATTGCCACGTCAGCTTTTTATCCATATCTTACCATGTGCATGCGACATCTTGTCTAGCACATCTGAGATCTGAAAAATGCTATTCGATCAATCACCGAGAGAATCAATCCCCATGCCGTCATCGTCGCCTAACTGGAATGCTTGACACTGGGGTCTGTGTACCCAGACACACGTGATGTTCGTAACTCAAAGCCATATGGGGACGGGAAAAATCTTGAATATCTTACATGTTCTCCTTTTCAATCAATTGAAACAAAGCGTTTCTGCAAGCTAGAAACACCAGGGTGTTGAAGTTCCCGCATAGCCGACCAAGTACAAAACCCCTGTCACTCGTACCTCGGCCCTCCATCTCTACCTATACGATGGATGCAATGTTATTTTGTCTAGCTTTTCTCTTGACCACTGCCAAGGGGTTCCTCGTGCCGCCGCCTTCTGACCAGAAGCCGCTACATCCAATTGCCGACGCCGGGACGATTCCTATCGGCCCCTCAGGGAACCAGTGGTTTTATTCCCCAGAGACGAAATCATATGACTTGACACGGGGCGACACAAAAAACAAGCCATTCTCCTTCTCGACCACTGAGGGGGCTTCCAATGTCACGGTAGTTATCGCGCCAGAGCTAACTACACTCATTGTCATCGACATGCAAAATTACTTTCTCGATCGGACTTGCAATGACCACCCCAGCGGTATTGTTGCAGCTCACAAAACTGTCGAGCTTGTCAAGAAATGTAGAGACCTTGATATAAAGGTTAGTGGGGAAGATCACATGACGTAAAGCTCATGTTTACCTTGGAAACTATTGACCCAACACTCCAAGTAGGTCATTTGGCTCAACTGGGGCCTGACCGACGCAGATCTGGATAAGATACCTGCGGCCCAGATGCATAGTTTTAGACAAGGCTTTGCCAATCCCCTCTCCCCACCACATGATGAACGCTGCGGCTTTGGCTGCGACCTTGGAAATAAAAGGGGGAGGGTTCTCATGCGAAATGAGTGGAATTCACAACTATATGAACCGTTGCTCAAAGTTGCCAAACCAGAAGATGATTTATTTATAAACAAGAATCGAGTTTCGGGTCTGTGGAGTGACGATAAGGCGTTTTCCCAGATCCTCGAGAAGGATAAACGCCAAACACTTCTCTTTGCCGGCGTGAACACCAACCAATGCGTTCTTGGTACCCTCCTAGACGCATACTACCGAGGTTATGACTGCATCTTAGTTGAAGATTGCTGCGCAACAAACACTCCGGGAGGACAAGATGTTTCCATCTTAGACATATGGGTACGTAGATGCCATATCTGGTACCCAATTCATCATAGCCCTTGACTGACGGGAACAGAGAAACTACGGATTTGTCACCACCAGTTCGGCGCTCCAAGCAGGCCGACTAGGGTGACATGCTCAGCCCCAATTCATTGGATGGGAGGATCAATATACCTCCGTGACTCAAGAAAACGGCTAGTAAGGCACTATGCGACCGGAATAGCAGGATTTAATATTGCGGCGACTATGGAGGCAATGGATATCGTACTGGTGACCACGAACTCGGTCAATTGGCTTGAATGGTCTTCTATCTCATGAATGAACATGTAGCGTCCGTTTGAGAGCTCTATAAGCTTGGACTCTCTGATGAATGAGCTCTATGCAATATGAAATACGTCTCGGTCATTATGAACACCGCAGTGAGAACTCCAGGAGCCTTATTGTGATCCAACTATGTTATACAAGCTTGAGAGCCAGTCGATATCAAGGATAGATGAGGTTCATTCACAGTCCTTATGCTTTATTCCGTTGTGATCATTCCGGATTAGGCCGACACATAATGCAGCTTCGCTAACCTCCAAATCCATAACAAATATATATTTCCCCTCCCATCTCGCTCATAGACTTGGATCTGTCCCCGAATAGAGTAGAAAGTGATTGATGCACTTAAGCCGGCTGCACGATGCACCCCAGAGCTCAGAGATTTTTATACAGTGCAAATTTGAATTATTAATTCCATTAAGATGATAAGAGATTCCGCTGTCCAATTAAATTGGCCCAGAAGGATTCGAATGAACCAGGGTACGATTGATGATCCTAGTTGGTCCCGTCAGCTCATCTTGCTCCATACAACTTTGTCCCTCATTGTCATTCGTACAAGGTGGTCCCCGAACAGTTGCAAGACGGTTGTTCGCAAAGGAGCAATACTCCGATGCATGCCCTCACTATATTGGTCCTCGCTGGCCTTGCTGCTGCTCAATTCCCGCCAAGGCCTGAGGGGCGAAAGATTTTGCGATCCAAGTTTCATGAAAATGTCACCATTTCATACAAAGAGGTGAATCATCCGGGGAAATCGGCATCTGCGAAACCTTGGCTAATTTAAACAGCCAAATATCTGTGAACTGGAGGACGCGGCAAAGTCCTACGCCGGGCACGTTCATCTCCCGCCCGATTTGCTAAACGACATCAATGGAGAAAAGCAAGACTATCCCATCAATACGTGAGAGCTACGCCCCATTCTCATCTATTAGATCATTCTGACTTTCGGCAAGATTCTTCTGGTTCTTTGAGTCGCGCTCTGCACCACAGGATGCTCCTCTTGCAATCTGGCTTAATGGTGGACCTGGAGGCTCGTCTCTACTCGGGCTCTTTGCTGAGAATGGTCCCTGCATAGTAAAAAACGACTCAACGACTACCGAATACAATCCTTGGAGCTGGAATAACTTTGTCAACATTCTTTACATTGATCAGCCGAACCAGGTGGGCTTCTCATATGATGTGCCTACTAACGGCACGATGAACCCGGCAGATGATACGATTACCGTTGCCGACTTTTCCGAAACTATTCCCGAGAGTAATTTTACCTCACGGGTTGGTACGTTTTCTAGCCAAAAGGCCTCTAACACAGCCAATACCACAGATCAGGCCGCCCATGCACTTTGGCATTTCGCCCAGATCTGGTTTTCTGAGTTCCCACACTATAAGCCGAACGATGACAAGATCAGTCTCTGGACAGAGAGCTACGGGGGTCACTACGGCCCGGGCTTCATGCGATTTTTCCAGGAACAAAATGAAAAAATAGCAAATGGAACAATCGAGGAGGAAGACGCCCATTATCTTCACCTTGGCACTCTCGGGATAGTGAACGGGCTGGTAGATATTGTCTTACAAGGGGAGGCATGGATTGAGTTTCCATATAACAACGTGAGATTAATTTCTTATTCTCGAAAGTCCTCTTCTAACTATCAAATAGACATATGGGATACAAGTATTTAACGAATCCCTTCACGAAGAGCTCATGACAAATTGGACCGCTCCCGGAGGCTGCAAAGAGCAATTGCTTGCCTGCCAGAACAGCTTGGGCATGTTTGACGTCAACACAATTAACCATGGATCTGTCAACGTCAAGGAAATATGCGCTATTGAACCATGGTGTAATCTTCAGAGTGTCAGCCTCTACAACGACTTGGGCCACGGCTTTTATGATATTGCCCACCCGCGCGCCGACCCTTTCCCTCCATACCATATCCTCGGCTATTTAAGCCAGGAGCATGTACTTGCCGCCATCGGTTCCCCTGTCAACTTCACCGCCATATCCATGACTACTAACTCTATCTTCATGGGCACTAATGATTTTATCCACGGCGGATTCCTCGATTCCATGGCCTATCTCCTCGACTCAGGTGTAAGCATCCATATGATCTATGGTGACCGCGACTATGCTTGCAACTGGATCGGTGGAGAAGCAGCCTCCCTCGCCGTCCCATATTCCCGCCAGGCAGATTTCTCCAAGTCCTCCTATGGCAAGTTCCAAGTTTCTGACGGCGATGATGGCTTTGCCGGTCTGACACGCCAACTGGGTAACTTTTCCTTCACGCGTCTCTTCCAAGCTGGCCACATGGCACCGTCGTACCAACCAGCAGCCGCCTACGAGCACTTTATGCGGGCGACCTTTCATAAGGATATATTTACCGGAACGAATCCCGTAAACGAGAATTTGCAGAACGACGGGGAGGTGTTTGACCGCTGGCTGAAGAACCCCGCACCCGAGTGGGCGGCACCTCAGTGCTATGTGCTGGAACCTGGAACCTGTACCGAGGAAGTGTGGGCAAAGGTGAAGGAGGGTAAGGCAAAGATCGAGAATTATTACGTTGTTGAGATTCTTGATCAGCCGGAGGAGGTACAGAAGGAACGTCTTGACTATGATGAGCTGTAATGGAGGATCAGTTAGCCTCCCCTGTTGATAGTCTCAATTGCGCATTATTTAGTTCGCCGTATTCTGTAGTGTTGTCTCCTCCCATACTTAACTGGGATAGTTCTTTTTGCTGGTCCTGAGTTTGTTGTAATCAATCAAGTCAATTTCCTATCAACTGGGATAGGGAAGTAAGGGATCTAACTAACTAAACTAATATGACAAAAGTTTGCGACCACTCCACAGTCCACGGTTCCTGTGCTGTGTAATGAACCGCTCATTGAGCCTCAAATGCAACAACATACTGTGCTCACATTCTCTTTTCCTCTGGGTGTATAAAGCGTATTCTGATAGATAATTGACAAGTACCTATTATTGAATATGTATGCTGTAATAATGGGTTAACGTTTGCGATAGGCTTCAAATTCTTCTTTCATTCTCATTTGCCTCTCGTGAAGCACATTCAAAGCCACATATGGCATAATGCAATCATTTTATGCTTCATATTCTTCCCAATTTCCCACGATGGGATCTTAGAGTTGTAATGACATGTTGCCAGACGATGGTCGTGATCTATTTTCCCAAGGTTTACAAAAACCGTGTTTCCTTGGGCGGGTTTCCCGTTAGTCCCCCGCCTTATCAGTTCACCTACAAAGGGTGTGGTGATTGAATGGCGACCTTTAGATGACAGCAAGATACAATACATCTTGATATTTGGGTATGGCTTATGTTCAACTACACTCTATAGTGTCTCGGCACTCTCGCTCGAGTTTCATCTCGACTCTGATTCCTTCACATTCATTAAATGCGTAGTCTGTTAATTAGCCATCCACCTCACCCATGTGTCAAATGCCGTTCCAGAATGAATGAAAATCTCCTTATTGATCATACCATGCTTGTTATGTCAGATTCTTAATTTAGCCTGATGGGAGCAGCCAAGCTTTTATACGAGTTAAACGAGACTCAGCTGGATTTTCAGCTCGGAGTGTCTTCGCAAACAATTCGCACGTCCATTCTACAAATAATGTCGCTCTCCAAATTTCGATACTGTGCATAAGTGACGGCATCAGAATTCGGCACAGATGGGCCATAATATTATTCTCATGCAGTATTGCCGAGCTGCTGTAGCCGGTATACTTCGATGGATCACCAGCTGCGCCATTCTGGGCATGACTGCGTCGTGCCTTGCCTATGAGGCGACGCCAAAACAGGCCCGCGCCGCCATAATATACAACCTTGTGTGTGTAAGTAGTTCTCTTCATCAGGATTCATAGATCAGTCGCAAGGTACCGCTCTGACACAGGGATCTCCTTTCTATAGGCATGCCTTCATATACCACTCCTGGGACCATTTCCATTACCCGTGTCGGAGACGAAACTACGCCCTCGACCGTGGTATGCTGTGGTTTTGGCAGTATCGACTCTTATGTGGCCCGCAGCAGCAGGGACTTTATTCGCATACTTGTTCTCGCTGAGCCATGATAAATCCCCAATCAACACGCGAATAAGGGTGTGCGCTGCTCTAGACATTACCAATATGTACGTTCCCTGCTCTTTTTCTGCGACTCCATTAAATCACAGCGGCGAATAACAGTTTATCTAAACAGAGTGCTCTGCGTGATTCAGTGGACCATGATCTTCAAGGTGAAGAAGACAGAGAGATTTGGTGAGCGATACAGGGCGATTGGATACCAAGAAGTCCAAGAACTGTTCGAGATCAAGGTAATACATCGAAATCTGCTTGGATACTTTATTGTCGTTCAACAGGTCGATTGATGCGATTCGTTTGGGTTCAATACCAAACTCCCCTGATTTCCTCGCCCACAGCACGATTGTTGGGTGTATATACGCATTGGATTCTGAAGATACATACAGTTTGACCTATGGTTTGAGAACATCATTGGTTGCGATTATTGCTCGATCTTCTTCATTTGTACGATTACAGTGTCTGTTGAACCCATTAGAATCACTTGGCTTCGCCGGCTGTGGTGTTTCAGGGCATCTTTCAGCTCACGGCCTCATTTTGGGTTCATCGAGTGCAATGAAGGAGAAGAAATGACAACTCTGATGGATTTTAAAAATTTGACCAGTTGATGCATAGAGTCTAAAACTGAATGGTGTACTTGCATACACATGTTACCAGCTGTGATTGGGACATAAATTCAATGGGAAGCTGCGCGTGATAAGGTGTTGAATTTCCCACACCCATAATTGATCTGCACTGGGCGGATCCTCACAACAAGAGAACGATAACGAGAGAAGGCCAAAAGGCGGAGTAGATCTTAATAATGATTCCAAATTTTCGAAGCTTACAGGATCGTGCAGTAGGAAGGCCTATAGGCTGCAGAATATAAGATATCTCAGGATTGTATCAGTTGTCCTAGTGACAATTAAAACCATCATAAGTTGAATTTACTACTCCAAGGACCGGGATCAAATATTCGAGTTGGATAGCTACTCCTGTTAGGTTGATAATTGCTTCGAAGGCATCAACGCTTGAAGAGGCAACAAGGCCTGCGCGTCAGAGGAAAAAGCTTTTGGTGCAATGACATACTACCATCCTAGATAACAGTAAATAATTTCAAAAGAGATATATGAGAGTGAGCAGCTTGATTGATTCTGGGAAGAAGTTACGTAAGGTTAGTGTGTACAGGTTTTACCCATAATATCAAAGATCGTAATGAATTAAGTATAGGGTAGGCTATATACTGTAGGTTACCAGGTTCAATGACAGCCGCAGGGGTTGGAAGGAGACAAGACGCGGGGCAAGCGGAGGATCTGTTGCTCGCTTAACTTCTCCACTTCTCGCATAATACGACAAACGAATCCGAGCATCAGTGTTTTAAATTTCGAACTAACTAACTAACTAGTGACCCACTTTTAACTAACTAGGACTAACTAGTGTCCACTTTTAACTAACTAGTTAGGACTAGTGCCCACTTTTAACTAACTAGTGACTAACTAGCCTTAGTTACTAGTTAGTCACTAGTTAATCACTAGTTAATTAATAATAAATAAATTATAATAAAAAAAATTATAAAAATTATAATTAAATCTAGAAAAATTCAAATAATTTAAATATTTAAAAAGTAATTTTATAACTAATTTATATAGCTTAATATAAAGGTTTAAAGTAAAATAATATAAAAGTAAAAGCTTATAATTATAATAGAAAGACTTAATATAAAAATTCTATAAAAATTATATAAATTTTTATTAATATAAATATTATAAATTCTTAAAAGCTAACTTACTAGCTAATTTATTTAGCTTATTATAAAGGATTAAAATATAATGTAATAATATAATAAATTTATATAAATATAATCTAAAAAAAAATATAAAAAATATATAAAAATTAATCTAAGTTTATTTTAAGTAAATCTTAAAATAAAAAGTCCTCTGAGTTAAATATATCCTCTAAATCCTCTAAATTATCACTAGTTAATATAGAATTATTAAATTCTATATCTTCTAAGTTATCTCTTTCTTCGTTTTCCTTTAAATTTAAGCTTATAGCTTCTAAATTATCTAAAAGCTAATATTATAATAATATAGTTTTTTTAACCTTATTAGGGTTTAGTCGATTTCTTTTATTTGTAATAATATTAGAGCCTTGGGAAAAGGATCTCTTAATATAAGCTTTAGTAGCTGAAATAGCTAGAAACCTTCTAGCTAAAATAGCTAAAATAGGATAATCTAGTGATTTTCTTTTCTACTAAGATAAAATATCTTCCTAAAATTAAATTAATATATATATAAATATATAAAATAAATATATACTTACTTTATTATTTAAATTAGATCTAAAAACAGGCTCTTTAAGATACCTTAAATATTCTTCTTCTATCTCTTGCTTAGGAATAATATTTATACTATTTTCACTATTAGTGCTTTTATATATATCTTCTTCTTCTTCTAAAGATATATTATTTATACTTTTAATTCTAATATTTAATTAGTATATAATAATATATTAAATAGCTAGTTAAATATAAAAAATAACTTACTTATAATATTCTTCTTTAAATAGGTTTTTAGCTTTAAATTCTAAGCTAGGAAAATCGGAATTATATAAAATTCCTCTTTCTTTAAAGGGCTTTAATTTATATCTAGGGTCTAATATTAAGCTTATTATATAAGGCTTAATAGAATTTATAGTTAATTTATCTTTAATAAGATTATAAAGGTTAAAGGGGAAATATTTCTCTAGCTTTTTAATTCCTAGAGAAATAGCTTCTTCTAAGAAGAAATAATATTTATCTTCTCCCTATTTATATATTAATAAATAAATATATATAAAATAATTAATAAAGACTTACTTTTAAGTTTAAACTTCTTTGAGCTTTAAAAGAAGTTTGTAGTTTATTTAAGCTTTTATATATAGAAAAAACCTTTATTAAGGCTTTATTTAAAGTTGGATAAAGCTTAGCTTGTAAATATTTCGAAGGTTTAATAAAAACCTTAAAAATCTTATTTAAATTGTTTAATATCTCCCACTCTAAGTTAGAAATAGCTAGCTTAGCTATATCTAAATTAGAGGTTATTTTAATAATATAATTTATAATAGCTTTTAATTTAATAGCTATATTTAGTATATAATAAGTTGAGTTCTATCTAGTATTATTATCTATTAATTTTATTAGTTATATATAATATATAATATAAGAAATTAGTTTATACCTAGTGGAATAATAGTTTTTTTATAATCTAAAGATATATCTTTATTATCTTTAGCTCTCTTTAAGCCTTCTAAAAATAGCTTTCTTCCTTGTTGTTAATTTTTAATATATTTAGATATAGTTTGAATTTTATGAATTAAATCTAATATATATATATTAATAAAACTCTTTATTTTAAATAAATTAAAATAAATACTTACTATATAGATTTTAAAAGTTATTAATTAAATTCTCTTTATTAGTATTATTTAAGATATTTAAGTCTTTATAATTAGACTTTAATATATTTTCTAAGTTAGTTGCTTTTTTATTATTATTTTCAATATTTATATTAAAAATAGAGAATATATCTCTTACTATAAGGTTTATTATATACCTTAAGCAGCGAATTTAATAAGGTTTTTCCGGTATGTTTTTAAGGTTATAATAGCTTAATAGGTTTTTATAAAACTTATTATTATTAGAGGCGTTATCTAATATAAGACTATATAAAGTTAATTTTATATTATTTTATATATTTATAATTTAAAAATAAATACCTTAATATTTTATCTAAAGATATAATATTATATTCCTTTAAAACTCGTAAAAAGGAATATAATAGATATTAGCTAGTATAACTTTTATAGCTTAAAGAATTAAAGCCTAGGTTTTAGTTAATAAAAAATTATAAAAAAAAATATATATATTTTTTAAAATAAACTTATCTATTAATCTATATATTAAATTAAAATCTATATTAATATAGCTTATTCCTAAGCCTAAATAAGAGTCTTAAACTTTTATAATAATTAGTTAACTTATACTAGATAGAGTTTAAGGTAGGTTAAGGTTAAACTAATTAAGGTATTATTCTAAGTAGTATAATTAGGTTATCTAGATACTATATAAATTACTATTAATATATAAGCACTAAAGAGCTAGTTTTAATAAAAGTAATAATAATAGTATTAATAACTATTTAAGAGAGTATTTCTATTTAAGGAAAAGGAATATATATATATATTATATATAGAGTACTAAGAGTATATTACTTCTAGCTAACTTATTAATTCTATAATAGGAGTATAATACTCTTATTACTTTAATCCTAAAATAGGTTTATATATAACTATATAACCTATTTAGGAGGCCTTTATTTATAATATAATATCCCCTCCTTATTAATCTTATCTTTAAGATTATATATTTAATTAATAAGTCCCCTTTTCCTTTCTTCCTATATATTATAATTATATTATAATATTTATTATATTTAACTATATCTAGAAATCTTTATACTTAAAGACTTATAAATAAGTTCTTCTTTTTATTATTATTTAGATATTTAGTCTTCTTATTAATATACCTTATACTTCTTATTTTAAAGTATAAAAAGAGTATATTATTTCTTTTAAGGGGAAATCCTTTAAGTATAATAAGTATATATATTCTAATTATTAATATAATAATATATTAATAGCTTTAAACTATAAGTTTTATCTTCCTATAACTTTATTCTTTACTTTTAACTTATCTTTAATTAAAAAGCTAATAGCTTAATAGAGGAAGCTAATAAAGGAGGAGTTAGATATAAATAGAAAGATCCTTCTTCTTTATAATAAATAACTTAGCTTTAAAGTAACTTCTTTATAGCTCTTAGCTATATTTAGTAAATTTATAAAATTTAAGGTAGAATTAAGAGTAAGATATATTAAGAGATTTAATAAGGCTTTTAAGAATTAGATTAAGAGGACTAAATTCCTTAAGGCTAAATACTTAATACCTTAGAATCCTTTAAGTACTTTATTATTAAAGAGGTTTACTTTTTTAGTATTACTTTTATAATAGATTTAAATTTATTAGATTTAAAAGAGGACTTTTTTAATTTAAACCCTTTACTTTTTAATAGAATTATTAAATTAAATATTAATAGTTCTTTAAATATTTAATAAGTTCCTATATATTATTATTTTTATTATAACCTTTCTATTTTATTAAATAAAATATTTATTTATTTTTAATTTCCTTCTTTAGGATTCTTTTTAGCTTAAATTCCTCTTTATAGACTTTAATTAAGTAATCTTAGTTTAATATATTTTCTAATACTTTCTT